GCTCCCTCCTAGCTCACCGCCCGCTGCGCATAATTGGGTCGCAAGCAGAACCCACTGCACGTTACCGGCTCCCGCGTCATTCTCGAGCAAACTTGTTGCACTACACGCAAAATATTACAGCAAGAAAACAATCTGTCGGCCGCTAGAAAAACATGTTCGTCGCCTTGTAGCCCGCCCTATTGTCTGTTTCGCGTGAAAGGCTGGTGAGCGGTGCCCCTCATTGTTCATTCGCCCATGGCTTTTCCCATCAGAGCTAACCATGAAGCGTACCAGCAGAACAAGCTTAAGTCGCCAGGGTCTACTCTTTTTTCTGCCTGCTTCACCTCCACAGCGCAGCCCTGCTTTTCCGCACATACCCAATTCGAGGGTGCTACTAGACTCTCGCACACACCTTCCCCGCACTGCGAAGCAATCCACTCGCAAATATGGCGTGGCAACCTCAAGAGGAGCCTCTGCGACAACTCGCGCAGTGTCTAAGGGACTCGCTGAGCGGCCATGATCAGAATGCGCGAAAGAATGCCGGAGAGGTTCGTTTGTCCTTGCTATGCATCGCATTGCTGTAATGTGCTGACCGCGGCGACCACGCAGATGCTCAAATCGGCCCAAACTTCACCTGATATCGACAAGTACCTCGCCTACATCTTCTCCAGCAGCCAGCCCCCACCCGTCGTCAACATGGACGCCCCCCAGTACTTCCAGACGCGAGCTGCGGCTGCCGTTATGCTCAAGAACGACATCAAGACCGGCTACAAATCGATGCCCGACTCCACCAAGGAGTATATACGATCAGTGATACTTGCGGGATTGCAAGACTCGACTCAGCAAATACGGGGCTACGCGGGGAATGTCATAACGGAGATTGTGCGCCAGGGCTCTATCATGGGCTGGCCCCAGATTCTCTCAGAGCTGGTCGGCATGGTCAGCAACACCGACGGTAATGTCTCGACACAGGCGCAAGAAGGCGCCATGGGCGCGCTGTTGAAGATCTGCGAGGACAACAGGAAAGCCCTGGACAGGGACTACCAAGGACAAAAGCCTCTCAGCTTCCTCTTCCCCCAGCTGCTCGAACTCACAACAAGCCCCCAGCCCCGAGTACGCGCCGATGCATTGGCCGCTATTAACGTATTCGTCCCAGAGAAGCCCCAGGCAGTCGTCTCGAACATCGACATGCTCATGCAACAGCTTTTCAAACTAGCCACTGACCCCAGCGAAGACGTGCGGAAACACGTCTGCCGAACCTTTGTCCACATCGCCGACATCGCTCCTCAGATGATAATACCACATATGGAGGGTCTGGTTGAATTCATGGTAGCCCAGCAGCGCACCGAGAACAACGCAGATTTGGCTTTGGACGCGGCCGAGTTCTGGCTGTGCGCCAGTGAGGACGAGAAGATGAGGGACCACCTTGGACCATATCTGGCCAAAATAATACCTGTATTGCTATCCAGCATGGTGTATAGCGAGGACGAGATCCTTCGTCTAGAGGGTGAAGAGGAGGACTATGAGCAGGAGGATCGGGAACAAGACATCAAACCTCAATTTGCGTCAAGCAAGGCCGCGCGACTCACCACAAACGCGAACGGCGAGACAGTCCCAGGCTCGAATGGAACTGGATTACCCACGGGTGATGATGATGGTCTCAGCGACGGCGAGATTGACGACTTTGACGACGACGACGAGTTCGGTGACCCCGAGGAGATGTGGAACCTTCGAAAGTGCTCCGCTGCGGCTCTTGATGTCCTCGCATCCGTCTTCCACGAGGCTGTATTCCAGGCGACTCTTCCATATCTGACAGACAACCTTAATCACGCCGAATGGCCCAATCGGGAGTCCGCAGTTCTGGCTCTTGGAGCCATTGCGGACGGCTGCATGGAAGTTGTGGAGCCGCATCTTCCCATGCTCACTCCATTCCTCCTGACCCTACTGAACGACCCGAAGCCTGTCGTACGCCAGATCACATGCTGGACCCTCGGTCGCTACTCGGGATGGGCCGCGCATCTTGACGGGGCTGGCAAGAAGCAGTTCTTCGAACCAATGATGGAGGGCATTCTGGTGAAAATGCTCGACACCAACAAGCGCGTCCAGGAGGCTGCAGCATCAGCCTTTGCAAATCTCGAAGAGAAGGCCAACGTTGAGCTCACCCTATACTGTCCCGTTATCGTCAAGCAGTTTGTACAGTGCTTTGCTATGTACAAGGACCGGAATATGTTCATCCTTTACGACTGTGTTCAGACACTGGCCGAACACGTGGGGCCTGCACTGGCAGAAGACTCGCTCGTCCAAACACTAATGCCTGCGCTCATCCAGCGATGGAACAAGGTGTCAGACCAATCAAGAGAGATGTTCCCATTGCTGGAGTGCCTCTCGTATGTCGCTACAGCTCTCGGACCCAAGTTTGCGCCGTACGCAGCTGGCATATTCGCCAGATGCATGAAGATCATCCACCGCAACCTCGAAGAAGGCCAAATGGCTGCTGAGATTCAAGGTTTCGAGCCTCCGGACAAAGACTTCCTGGTAACAAGCCTGGACCTGCTCAGCGCCATCATCCAAGCCCTCAACTCCCAGGACAGTGCGACACTGGTCACACAAGCACCAAACTTCTTCAACCTACTAGTTGTCTGCATGCGGGACCCAAACAACGACGTGCGACAGTCCGCCTACGCGCTCCTCGGAGACTGCGCCATCTACGTCTTCCAACAGCTCCAGCCCCATCTGCGAGATGTCTTGACCACCCTCATCACACAATTAGACGTTTCGCAAATAGACACCAACAGTCTCGACACTGGATACTCGGTCATTAACAATGCTTGCTGGTCCGTTGGCGAGATTGCTATGTGTCACAAAGAAGGCATGGAGCCCTATATTGAGCAGTTGCTCCAGAAGCTGGGTAACATCCTCTTTGACGAGCGCGTCCCAGAATCTCTGAACGAAAACGCGGCCATTGCTCTCGGTCGTCTAGGTCTTGGTTGCGCGCCCTTGCTCGCTCCCCATCTCGCTCAAATCGCACCTCCCTTCCTTCGCGCTATTAGGAAAGTGCAATGGACGGACGAAAAGTGCCATGCGCTCACTGGGTTTATGTTGATTGTTCTGGCCAACCCGGGAGCCATGGAGCAATCACTTCTGGAATTCTTCAGCGATATGTCACAGGCTGATCGGAATGTTGTTCGCGGACCTACGGCTGGTCGACAGGTGCAGGAGACGTTCCAGAAGGTAAGATCATAGAAACATCAAAAACAACGCGTGCATTCAGCTAACACCACTTCCAGGTCATCCAGCAATACAAAGGCATGATCGGCAACTTCGATGCCTTCCTCGGAGGTCTGCCTTCCGAGCAGCAAGCTCGCTTCCGCGAAATGTACTCCGTCTGATCACGAACAAGAAACATATCAACTTCCGATATCATCAATTCCCACATGTATGTGCTACCGCGGGCGTTGAATAAGGAACAGGACAAGGGAATGTCTGGATCTTAGAGGAAGAGAAGGAAACAGGGAAATACCAACAGGCGCGTCCACACTATCATGTGTGCGTACGCGGTCCTGAGAGGAGGAGGAAATGGGACTAGTGATAGCATTTTCGGCAGGCAAATGGGGGGGGTGGGCGGGTGATATCTATATAGAACTTGTGTGTTTTATCCTTTTCTCTAGCGAGCGCAGCCTTGATTTCAATGACGATGCGTACGTACGAAACATTTCCAAGGCGTTTTGTTTGAGCAGAGTAGGTAGTATAGTAGGTAGCCTTAGTTTAGCTTAGTATTAGTTCAAGTTTTCTTCTCTCGAGTTACAACATTGCGTCTTAGTCGATAGTATGCTCTTGTTCGGATGCTTACGCAGCTACTCTTTGCTGAAGCTCCGACGCTGAACCTGCTACCAACAAGTCTGCGCGCTTTCTTCTACTGTTGTCTTGGGTGAGCAGCACAGTGAAGAGCGTGATCACTCTACACTACCCCTCTCTCTTCTTTACAACAGGGTTATGTCGCCTTTAACGCACACCCTATCACTCCTTCCTCACAACATCAAGATGCGCGACGAGCAGCAAAAAGGATAGCTAAAAAGATGGATCCAAATGGCAAAAACATACAACAGCGGGGATTCGCTAGTGGTCACCCACCTAACTACTAATCCGCCGGTACACTGCTTGTATATGGCTGAGCGGACGGGAAGCCTAATTCTCAGTGTCCTATGATCGTATGTGGTGGGTTCTAGATTGTGAAAAAATATATAGTGAGAACACAGAAGGGGATAAGGGTTTGGGGATGCGTACAAAGCGTTGGGGCACGGGTTTTGTATGCGAGAAAAGTGAGATAGAACAGTAGCTCTATGATTCAGTATTAGAGTATGGATACGGTTTGTGTGGTGACTTCGTGGTATTGCGGCATTTTTGGGGGTTGGCGCTCGCAACTGGCGTGGCGCACGTGATCTGGGATAGTGCTAGACCAAGGTCGTGGCTGCGATATGGTGCGGCCTAGGCCACTCTAACACTGCACAGTTCAGCTTCACGTTCAGCTCGCGATAACTGGAGTCTCTTGGCGCATGGAGGGCGCATCTCGTACGATGACTCTGTTCTTCTGTTAGAGTAACTACCCAATACACCGCTTCGGCGATGGCTGATGGAGGATACATGGGGTCATTTTATAACCCAGGCATTTATCTTCATTTCGAGTATTATATGGCAGGTGAATGTTTGGTTCTTCTTCTGTGTGCGCATTGCATTGGCACGAAGCTGAAGAGCTGGGGTTTGACTATTCTAACAGGTCGATCACAGTCTCATCCCCGGGGGTCACTATAATGGTGGGCTATCGGAGGGAAATCTGTTTTCTTTTCCGGCGAAATATGCAGCCAAGCTGATACGATAGCAGGCGGACATGGTTGGATAAAGAAGACCGGTGAGCTGAACGTTACTTCAGCCACTCAGCTGACCCATTCATCTGCCCTGCTTTGACGGAATGTCAAAATGAGATCACCTGCTGTCCTAGGTCCCTGCCTGTCAGTGTATTTCAAATTTGATCATCTAATCTCTGCCATACAAGGAGACATTGACGCATAATGTCGAAACTCGTACTTGATCCCAATCCCCGAGGCTCTCAAACCCCCACGATTGACACGCCACCGAACGAAGTCAGATTGCCGGGAGAAGAGGCAAGGAATATAAACCCAAATCGGTTCCCAGAAGGAACTTGCACCGAATGCCAGAAAATCACACTCCATAGTCTCTTGGAGACGCATCTTGGCTCAATCAAAAAGTGCTGGCTTGATTATGATCGAGATCTGCCTACAAGCTGCCCCATTTGCAAATTGATGTTCGGTTCGATCCATCTTGGGCATGAGATGACTGGAAAAATTCGTCTAGAGTTGAGGGTCGATGACCCTGAGCCGAACATCGACATATACACTGGGAGACGAATCCACGAAGTCCTTTTGTCAAAGTACCGTGAATATAACAGGGGTAGGGAATTCAAAGGGCAGTTCCGCATATATGCACAACCAGGTGCGTGCTTACTCCCTTGGTCACTGCACGTTCGCCTTTGACTCTGATTCTGATAGGCTCGTACGCGTCCAAATTTGTGCCCTATTGGTGCGCACCATCATCCAATTTCTCAAATACTACATTCTGGAAGATTGCTCGCCGAGTCAAGAACTGCGACGAAACACACACAAGTTGTCGAAACTTTTCCGCCCAATCTCCAGAACTAACCTCGCAATACATACCTTCCAGAGTCGTTCACGTTGGCTCTGAAACTCATAAGCCGTATCTTCACATCGTGCATGATCAGCAAAGCAGTCGCTATGTTGCGTTGAGCCATTGTTGGGGCGATGTCCCACAAGTCGAAACGTTGAAAGCGAACATCGAACAACACAAAGAAGCGATCGTCTATGAAAGTCTGTCGAAGACTTTCCAGGATGCACTATGTGTTGCAAGGCGGCTGGGTATCGATTACATCTGGATCGATTCACTGTGCATCGTGCAAGACGATGAAGACGACTGGCTTCACGAATCGGAGAACATGGGTAGCATTTATATGAATGCCGACATCACCATAGCTGCAACTTCTGCAACAGATGGTAACGGTGGACTGGACAGCGTCCGTCCCAAGAGTAAATGGATTGAATTCCCTTGTGATGGCACGGATGAAGGCAAAGGACACATGTGGCTCACAGATGCGTCGTGGAGTTCTCAAAGCGACCTTAACGACGCACCGCTCAACTTGCGTGGCTGGGTACTCCAAGAAAAGATACTTTCGCGTCGTATCATCCATTTCGCCTCTTCGCAGGTATACTGGGAATGCAAGGAAGGCTTCCTTGGGGAAGAATGCGAAGATCCGATTCGTTTACCTGCCGATGCAACCCTGAAACCGTCACTATTCTGGGCCGCCGTTTCCCGCGTCGGAAACACACCCATCGAACGTGCGAATGACATTCCATTTGCAGCCAAGCCAAAACCGCGGCTCCTTGGGTTCTACCAAAGCTGGAGAACCTTTATTCACTACTACAGTACCAGGAATCTCACCAAAAAGAGTGATCGTTTGATAGCTCTGATGGGTATCATCCGAGTCATCGAGAGAAAGACAGGGCTTTGCTGTGTCGATGGCCATTGGGATGATGGTTCACGGCAGTTCGTGCACGAACTGATGTGGTCTCCCAAAGAACAAACAACGCTGTCAATACTTGATGAGACTAGGCAATCTAGGCTGTGTTCCTCATGGTCATGGGCATCTTTGGGGGCTCCAGTACAGTTCAGCACAAACTTTGTTGATGTCTGGGAGAACTACGGTTTGCAAGATTGTAGTTTGCAGCTCCAGGCAATCGGAGGCAAGGAACTCGTTCCGTGGGCAAGCCATCCTCTAGAAGTTTCGGGAATGCTACGAGCATCAAACAAAGGAAAACTAGAGGTAAGCGAGTATCTCAACAGGATGTACCCGGGCAAACGCACTTTGAGAGTAATGTCAGAAGCATTCAAGAAGGTCGATGGATTTGTTTGTTTCGACTGCGCAGATGAGGAATCAGGGCAATTCTACCTCTCTCCTGTGTATATGTCTTTCTCGGATATCGAATGCTTAGTCTTGGTTGAGCAATCTTACGCTGGCAGCAAAGCGCGTTGTTTCAAGCGCGTAGGTGTTGGGATTATTCGTGCTATGGGTTCCCATATTGGCGATTCTGGTCCGAGCGATGATAGGAAATACTTTGAAGCATGCAAACGAGAAACGTACCATATAATTTAAGTATTTCCAACGCTGGGAAAGAAATCTCGCGTGAGAGCAAGGACCCGTATAACTCAGGTTCAAACCCTTTCATAAGTATACCTATGTGTGACTGTGTCCGTAACCTTTCCCGTGCGATGACGCATGAATAGGTAAGCGATTCATGCGTACATGAAGATGAGCACATAGTTACGCTAAAGGGAAAACGAGTCGCGGAGCTTACTTATGCGCTGCTGTCATTATATGGAGTAGGTGTCGTATAGTCCTTCATCTCACTTGTAAATCTACTCTAATGAACCATGAACATCGGCCGACAAGCACTCAAAAGAAAAGATTCTCTTTGCTGATCCGCCCTTCTGGAGCAAAGTCGCCAATGCAATGAGCCAATATCATCATCGTTGTCCTCTTCAAGCCACTTGCAAAGAATCCAGATAAATCTGAGTTTCGCCTTATCAGCATCGAATAAGACTGCACGGTAATGGTTGACACTTGGCCAGCTACAGATAGCAAACGTGAAAAAAGAGGGACAGAGTAGCTTGTGAGTGCTCCAATCAGCTCTCTGGCATGCCTTGGAGCAGTAGAATATAGATTTGCATCGTGCGCAATAATTCGCGTTCTGTTTGTTGCATATTGTGCACAGTCGCGGGATTGTAGGGCTCGACATGGTGATGCACCGAGGTGAGCTTGAAGGGGCAACTATTCGGTTTATATGTTAATGAGCAGATGAGCTCAGGTTGCTACCACTATCGGGAAGGCTGTGCGGGGTTCATGCGAAGGATGTGGCACAGTATTTATCTCGTCGAATAGTGATGGAACGCATCACAATGCATGCGTCTGCATGCCGCTCATCACATGAAAGGTAAATGCAGAGTGGGCAGTCTAAGTTCTGGGATGTTCGATTGGGAAACTACTCCCGAGGGTCACACGCAGCAGTCTCCGGTACGCAGCGTGGCCATCGTCCCGTAGTACAGTTAGGTACAGTACAACTATACAACGTAGGCAAGCTATACGCACAACGCCTCTTATTAGCCTATACTATAGTTATATAAAGTAATAATAAAAAAGTTATAGTATAACTATATAGCTTAGCGCTGTTAGGGGTACTTATAAAGAGTAAGTATTTACTTTTTACTTCTAAACTAGACTCTTTTAGGTAAGTATAGTTTATATATAGTTTATATACTTATACTATAACTATAGTTTGTATTTAGTAACTTAAAGTGTTATACTATACGTACCTCTATTTACTCTAGGCTGTACATACTCTTAACAGCCCCTAATTGTACTGTATTACAAAACGATGGAAACGCTGCCGGTACGTATACTGCGCAACGTAGCCCAACATATATATGACAGAGACCCTTATTCACGAACTCTTAATCGAAGCAACCACGGTTCAAAGTAGCACCATCACTCCTTCCCCGGATTCTTCTTTCTTTGCTCATTTGTCTGCCCGTTCTCGACGTCCGAAAAGTATTCACAACTTCCTGTCGCGCACGTCCAGAATCCCAAGTTGGGCATAGTTGTATCAGCTCCTGCCTTGTCCTGACGACTAGCTATTCCACAGTGACACTTCGGATTACTACTGTCCATACCACGATCGTCATCCCATGTTATCCACCCTGTGTAGTGATCCCCTACGCCTTGCTTGCCTCTTGTCTCGCAACGAACACATCTGTAGTACGGGCGGCCTGCGTTGCCGTTCTGATTGGCCGTATTGACAATGTTTCGGAATTTGGGTTGCCATCTACAACGGCGGCAGCGTGGTCTAGGGGAAAGAGGGAACTCCGGTAGTTGCTCTTCATCCGCGGCTCCTCCGATACGGAGCCTTTGTAAGTCTGGGTTGCGTTAGATCCTGTCGATTCAGACACACATGTGGGTATAGTGACCTATGTTGTTGGGGTCTGCATCCTCTTGGACATTCACTCGTCTGCGGATCGTTGCCATCGTTCTTTGAGTCCGACTGTTTGAGTGTGCTTGAAAAACGAGTGAATTATACTTGTGATGCGAAGAATGATTAGGGTGAAGAGAGGCCGCCTATTCCAGGCTATGTGCCCCGCGCTCAGCTCAGCCTTGTGTCACAAGGACAGCAAACATACTGCGCCTATCATCACTCTTTCGGTAACCAATGCGGCAGAGTTGCATGATACTGCTAGAATGTTCCATGGATGTTGATGAGCGGCTGTGTATCGTTTCCGCGAACAGTGCTTACGACTGTCTTCGATTGGATTTGGACTGTAACGAAATATGTATAGTATAGTCAATTGTCAGACCTCTATGTGTGAACTTAAATCCCGAGACAGTCTGATCAAAGAGACCATCCTGATCGTGAAAGATGAGTGGTGTCACCTATTCACCAATACGTTCAGAGCGTCTTGGCCGATGAGTACTTCAGTAGTCCAGCCTGGACTTTATGCTGCGGCTCCCAGTTTTAGATGATGCCTGAAATGGGATCTAATGGTTTCCTGGTAGTCTATTGCGGCTTGGTTGGTGTTACACCGCATGATCAGCAGCGTCAAGAATCGCTGTAGCCTATAGAAACAGGTTCTCGCGCTCTATTCTTCCTTGCTGTACTCTGTTTGTTCTGGGATAAAACGAATAATAGTTGTACATGCTACGAACTCTATATGTCACCGCTACAGCAGGCACTTACGTCGTGACTTTCGGTGCAAACCTAGCACTGCAACCGCCACCATTCACTGATGACCACAAAGGCACTCCGGGTCCTTACAAGCCCTTCCATTCCTACACGGCGTCAAGCGAGCAACAGCACGCAAAGCCACCAACTGCTGATTGCTCAACTTGGCAGCATGATCGTGTTGACAATTTCCGAAGTTCTTCAGGAAGGTGCATTTTCCAAGGAGATGGAAAGCATTGCAGAACCTACGGCTTTTTATGGCGAAGAACTCTTCGGTTGTAAAGGCCAGTGGCGGATCCACGCGCTCGCCGGCCTCGTTTAGAAGCACTCTGGTCGTTGTACTTCGTGTATTTGCGACAGAACCCCGTGATGTAGAGGATGAAGGCGTTGTTGGTAACTGTGCAGCAGCCGTTGCATAGTCTGTCGATGGTGTTTGGGGTGGAGTAGGAAGAGACACCGTTACGCGTCTAGGGCTAACCACCAACATCTGACTGCGAAAGACGTTGTCGAATGATACTGTATGATATCTGTCTTTGATCGCAGCTAATTCGCGGGCGAATGGAGGGCCTTCCAACAGGGTAATCCGGCTCCGAACTGCATCATCTTCGGTGAATGGGCCCAACAGTCTGGCATAGCCATTGTCGGCTGAGCCGCCGAAGAGGATTTGCTGGCAGTGCATGTCCGCTAGATTGTGCCGAAACATTGCTTTTGAGAGATGAGTGTTTGCGTATCATGTCTGGGTGATGTGTTGCGTACCTTTGATCTTCTCGTCTGAACACTCTTTGCCGTTACCAGCATCAACATAATCACACATGGGATCGCCCATGTTGAAACCACGTACGAACTCGTCAAACGACGATAACTGCGGGATGATCTCCGCTTCTTTGTATGTCTTGGCCAGCCCCTTCATGTTCGCGTAAACACGAATGACCGCCTGGATATGGTGGGCTACTGCAGGCAGAGATGATCGAAGTTCTTCCTCAACAGCTTGCTTGAGTAAGCCCGCTGCTCTCTTTCCACCGTTTAGCCCGGCTTTCACAAGATCATCGTTGAACTAAAGTAGCCATTAGGGAGGGTTGATGAGTGTTGAGAGGGGACTTACCAGCATACAATCACCATCGATCAAAACCGACGCAAAGGCATGTCGATCCTTCTCAGCCTGCAAAACTTGGATCTGCTTCCCGGCATCTTCGATACGATCGCGTGTCAACTTGATCACGTCTTTTCGATCACGAAGTTCGTACTCGGCTTCTGACAACCGAGTAGAGAGATCATTCACATATGCGAATAAATTCTGGATTGGAATTAAGTGATTGGAGAACCTTCCAGGAATGGTCTGCTTACCTTGATCAAAACATGCTTTTGATCATCGTTCGCCTGGCAAGTGTTCCACACACTTCGCAAACACTCCAACTGCGCTTGCGGATCCGCCATTCTGTGATCTCGAAACGTTGCAGACGCGAAATGGTCTCAATTATGAGACTCTTGCAGCAGAAAGAATGGATGGGAGTAGGAATAAATAAGGCTGTCAATGACTGGGCCCACAGGTAAGTGCCTAGAGGCGCAGCACGATGCACGTTACACAGCATTCGCCTCGTCGAATACTCTTCGAACGCATGACAATGCAGGCGCCAGCGAATCGCTCGTCCAATCGTTCGCGTAGGGAGCACATATGCGCCCATCCTCATATACTGTACATCCTGGGCACACAGCCCCAGCGGCACGGTCCGGTGTATTGAATGTTGCCTCGGGCATCTTTTCCTGAGAAGAGCGTCGAATTTGAGGATATGACGTGATAATAGGCGCTCGATGCCATTGCGCAGTTTGACTTGGACGAAAAGAAGAACTCGTGTATAGCGGATACGCCGCCACCAGCGCTTACAACCAAAAGGGTTGAGTGCAACCTATCGAATATCCATCCTTCTTCTAATATGTAATTGCACCTTACTGAAGGACAAGACTAACCACCCTACAGCATATGTTAACGTCAGGTTGCCTACTTTGCTTGTTTCCACTTTGATGTATACTGCAGACCCGAGTGTCGAATCCAGTGATGGTTCAGGTTGCGATAAATGCGATATCACGTCGCGACAATGCGATGGTGAGTGGCGTAGATAATCACGTGGTCGCTAACCTTCACCGCAGCTCAAGCTGAGGCTGATTGCTTCGGGCACTCACGAGCTCGCGATTGAGTCATAGGAAGATTCTGAAGTTGTATGACAGCGCGACATGCGCGACAAATAAGGCTGAAGGTCGGTTCCCCGCTCATCACCGCGGGATAGCCAACCAGACAAATGATTGCACTTTTGAAGGACCGACAGCGTGAAAACACGTACTAAGGGAGATCGGTCATGTGAAAAGACAAGATAGATGGAAGAGCACATGCGGTTCTCGGAATAGCTGTAGTGGATGATGATGCAGGTTATTGGGTAGTACAAACGCTGATCGGCACGGGTCTAGCTTCGGCGATAGCGTGAGCGGCTGGATGATGATGGGATCACGGCAGTGGAGGAACGAGGCACAGGTCGCAGCCGCTCAACACTTTCCCCTCAATCTCGGCCTCGCAGGGCGCGTGGGACTACAAGATCTCTCTGCCCCCATCTACAATCGTTCTGCATTTGATAGCACGCTGAATCATCCGCCCCTGCTTCGCCAATCGCGCGCAACACGGTACCACTACCATCACGCCGAACGTCCCGTACCGTCGTAACGCTTCGCCGCCCCACAAACGGGCTACCAGGCTACCAGGCTATTTATCAGCAAGCGCCCGTCCGAAGTAGGACGAGATGGCCTCGCGCACTTCGACGCCTTCGCGGTCGCGTTCCTCTTCCAACAGCAGCAGCTCTTCCGACACCACCATGATAGACGCGCCGCCGCAATCCGCAAGTCGCCCAGCGCGCCTCCGCAACCCTTCGCATACGCATAGCGCCGCACTTCCCACGCCTACAGCCTCGCAGATGCCGACCCACGAAGTTCTCCCCGATCCGTCCTTTTCACTCCTGCTGTCTCTGCCGAGAGAACTCCGCGATCGCGTCTACACGTATGCCCTGGTTTCAAACACGCCGTTCCTGTGGCCCGGAGGCGCGCCCGAATCCGTTTATAGCAAACATCGCCATGTCAGCGTGAACCTTCTTCGGACGAACAGGCAGGTTCATGACGAGGCTGTCAACATTTTGTATGCACAGAACAAGTTTCTATTCACACATCCCAGCGACTGCAACATCTTCCGCGTCGTCACGTCTCCCGCCTCCGCCAACATCACGAGCGTGTACTTTCGCATAAAGGACAGGGACCTACCACTGTGGACAGCGTATATGGGAAGCAAGAAGGAAGAGAGGAGTCTAAGAGGCGATCTGCCCAAGTTGAAGAGTCTCTGGGTGTTCCTTAGGTTGGGAATGTGCCCACACTTCATGTCAGGCGTACTGGCTGGATCGCAACATGTACATGTCGGGGGTCAAGCAGCGGGAGGCGGCGTGCAGGCTGTTCAGAATGTTGTGGGACATCAGATACACGCCCTACAGCAACATGTGCAGAACGCCATAAATCAGGTCATGACCAACGCCGGCGTGCAAATCGTCGGTGGCACAGGCGGCCATGCGCATACCCCTGCCAACGCGACCCAAATCCCGCCTCCGCCTCCACCAGCTCCCGCGATGCCGTTCCCGCAATTCATGCAGGGAGCGTTGGGGATGGGTGGTCATGCGCAACAACACCACCAAGCAATGCCAGTACCGCACGCTCACGGCCAGCACAACCACCCACCGAATCCCAGTCCATTAGCGCAACACCTTCAGGCGCAGCAGAATAATCCCACCGTCCAAGTCATACATGCGCCCGCTCAAAACACCCCACCACCTACAACCCCCACAAACAGCACAGACCCCAACAGACTCTACTCCTCCATGATCCGCTCCAACCGCTTCAAAGTCGTCGAATCACTGTGCCTCCAACTCCACGACGTCCTACACACCAAACCCCCTCCATCCACGCTATCCCCCGTATCCTCCACTTCCGTTCCACCAGGACGCATCACCCCGCGCGAACGAGACCACCCACAACATCGACCATCTCGAACCATTGATATCCCTCGACCGGGCAGATTCTCTCGCTCTCCTGGTGACCGCAAGTCCTCCCTCAAAGCAACGAAAACCGATGCCCTCCCATCACCTCCCAACACGGAGATCAAGATTGTGTGTATTGCACGACCCGGGAAGAGGCAGATCGAGCGGTTGCTTGCTACGTTTCCTGATGAGTTGGAGGTTGATCCGGTCACGCAGGATGCGCGGACGAGGTTTAGGAAGATGCATGGGGTGGATGTTAGTTGGGAGTTTAATGGGTTGAGTGATGTTGAGGCGGGGAGGGCGGGGGAGGTTATGATTCCGTGGGATGGGGGGTGGTGAGACGTCAGGTGGTGGGGCGTTGAGATTGAAGATGGTTGGTTCCGAGAGGCATGTCCTGAAAGGTCGTACCGAGAGTGATATCAGGGGGGTATAGATGTCGGGTCTTGTAATTTCTTTCGTCTCGTCGCAAGACGTTGGCCATATCCCCCAAAGTCCCATAGCAAAGCCCTAGCAGCGTACTACCCAACCCCTACGCATAAACATAGCAAAAGGGCCCACCCACCGTACTCATCGCCTCCCTAATCGTCACATTCCCCACTCCAACATACTCCCCCAGAGTAATAATATCCTCCAGCGTCCCCCTCGCCCCTCCATCCCCCACTCCACTCGTCCCACCCGCGATCGCCTCCTTCCTCCCCTCCAGATCCAAATTCTGCCACGTCCAATACACCCTATCCACCATGGCATGATGCGCAAAGAATGCAGGGTCCGCGGGCGAATTGATGAAATCAGAGCCTGCGTCGCCGCCGATGGTGTTGTGGCCACCGACGTGGGGACCCATTTTGCCTTGGGCAAATTCGCCGCCGAGCACGGTTTGGAAGGACGAGATGGTGGTGTTGTATTTGATGAGGGCGGCGACTACATCGTCCCGTGTCTCGGCGGCGGACTGCAGAGAAATGTCGCGGGAGAGGCAGCGCGGATTGTAGCCTAGACCGTCGGGTTGCGGGTTTGGCGGTGGTGTAGGGAGGGAGATGGCTGCGAGGGGGCCGAGGTTGATCTTCCAGCTGGATGTAGTGTTAGCAACTGGGACTACTGTTGTGAAGTTGGGGAGGATATCATGTACTCTTTGAATGGCCCAGACGTTACGCAACCACCTCCACTTCCTGGTTGAAGCTGGATGTAGCACATTTCGGTTGATGGGAAGCAGACGGAGGATCTATTGGCGATATATGCTCCGTCTCCTGACATGCTGGTGTCGCTACCGTCGAAGAAGGGTGAGGCTTTCGGGTTGTCTGCCCAATGACCCCTGGAGGTTGGCACATGAAGTCAGTATTGGTCTCATGGGCTCTACATGGAAGCTACATACCAGTTGTAATAAGGCTGGTATCCTTTATATCCACATTCGTTCCTCAGCATCTGCTCAAAAGCCCAAGTGTAATAGCGGTGCCATGTTAAGAAATTGGCTGTTCCGTGGATCGTAAACGCTTGTTGTATATGCGTTACGACTAGGTCATCGTATCGGCTCTTTGCTCCTGAGGCGATAGCCGCGGGTGTTTTTGCTGGCAGTTTTGCGAGGCATTTCACGGCTTTGATATAGCTGCGTCTTTCTTGTTTGCTTAGGACTGACCTTGGGTGTGTGAGTTGGAGCAGAATCAGATGGTGTATATCTCGCTCACCAGTCTCGACGAACGGCTACGTTATTCAGTGTGCATGTTCCTGGGCTTGGTAGTGGGATTTCTGAGTAATAGGCCTGCATTCGGTGCAGACCTTCGGCAGCCAGGGTGTCTACTTCGTTGGGCCTGTCTTTGTTCTTTGCGCTGGCGCTACTGGCTAAACCCACTAACAGGACGTTGGAAAGCTTCATGATGCTAGATCACTGATGTAGCTGGCGATTACTTAAACATGAGAGAAACGAACTCTTATATTGAACCGGGAATTTTAAAGATAGACAGGGACTGACACGTGGAATCGTTCCCAACATGACCATACCCTTGTATTACTACTTACCCGGGCTGTTGATGCCGTGTCCACGCACGTTTAGGCAAGGCGAAGGCATCCTTCGCAGCGCGCCGTTAGCCGCAGTGGGGTGCTCAGTGTATTTGTTTGCAGTACTGCAATCTAGTCGCCATCCTCTCGGAATATAGACTGGAGTCACTATGTCGTTCCCGGGCCTTGCTTCTTGAATACTCTTGATAATGTGCATGGTGTTGACTATGTATGACTAGAGTTTTTAGAGGAACCGTTTTACCTGCGCTTGCGTCCATGTTCGATTGGTCCTCGTGAGACTGGCGTTGGAAGTATGCATCGCGCATGGTACTGCCTGTGGGCTTCCAAACACGAAAGCTCCCGCATTCAGCCAAGGCGCTAGACGCAGCGGCATACAGTCCATTCTTCCGGTCCCATCCCCACACGGTGCTTCGCTGATTCTTTCCTCCAGTAGTAGAATGGAGATAGCATCGCCCTGGGTGTTGGTTCCACTGGACAACACTTACATAGCGACATGCCCGATCTGTCTTCTTGTGGCAATGACTGCGCATCCAAATGTCAGCAATGAGCACTCGACAAATAACTACACCCTCAGGAACATTCCGGCAGCATTACTAAACGCTTCCATGGTTGTTGAAGAAAGGCCATGCGGCAGCGGGTGTATACCATTGGGTGAGCGCGCGCTGCCTGCGTCTCGCGTGGCACAGCCCCCGAGCCTGAGGAACACGAACGCCCAGAATCCTGCCATAGCCTTGTGGCTGTAGAAAAAACTCCCTTGTCACCACCTCAACATCCAGCAACGCATCCCTCGATCTCATATTTCACGGCTACGACATGGAAAGTGTCTACCGACTGCTTGTGGGAGACCAAATCCGATTCGTGAAAATTCAACCTGGTGCCTGGACGGATCCTGTCCGATGCGATCTAGTATATCTACCGCTACCTAACGCTGAGACCGACGTAGTTGAAGCATGGTTCTCTGGTAGACCGCTACCAAAACTCCTACATCAGGAGTTGCATGACCCGCGACCCTCAAGCATGTCATCATTGACAGGCTATGCTAGCGAAGCACCGGCTGCAATAGCGCCGACAGCTGGAATACCGCCTTTCGTTGCATTATCGTATGCATGGGGTCATCCAGGTCAAACAGAGGAGCTACTGCTCGATGGGCACCCAGTACAAAAGACTGTCAATCTCGTCGCTGGCTTGCGACAGCTGAGGGGTATGCTTGGAGATCCTTCTCGCGCACCATCTATCTTTGGCAGCCCTGATGTTCTGTTTTGGATCGACGCGCTATGTATCAATCAAGAAGACAACGCAGAGAAGTCAACACAAGTGCCTCGAATAGGAGCGATCTACGGAGCCGCAGATGTTGTTGTAGCATGGTTGGGGGAGAATGGAGAAGACGATGGCACAATACATGAGTTCATGACCTTAGCCAACAACATGGAGTTCGAAAATCAGTCAGAGTTCTTCGAGAGTGCCTATCCTAGGTTCGACACACTGGATAGCGCCAAACTCTCCGATGTCTTATACGCCTACAAAAGCCTTATGGGCCGGTCATGGTTCGAAAGAATATGTGTAATACAAGAGATGGCGCTATCAAGATGCACAGTCATCTTAGCAGGCTCTTATTCGTGTCAGTATAAACCCTTCACGTATGTCTGCCTGCAGATCTTGGAAAATCATCGTGAGCATGTGCTACTGAAGGGTTCACCCTATCATCTGTTACGACCAGTATGCTATGACTCAATCGCTGTATTTGTTGGCTTAACGATACGGGCTATCTTCGAACCAAGATCTGCAGCAGGGTTAGGTACGCCCTTTGCAAAATCGCAAGAGGGGGAGGAAAATAGAGATTTGGATGGACAGCTGCCTGACTGGGACAAGAGAGTGGGGGGTAGATTTAGGGTGAACATGTTTACAGACTGGATCGATTATACAGGAGCTCTGTTAGCGAGGCCTGCAGTTACAAAAGAATTTGTAAGCACGCGACTGCTTGCATATATACTCAGGGCTGCGCTCAGGGGCTCAGTTTCGCAGTTCAAAGCCACAGTTCCTCATGACTATATCTATGGCATTCTTTCCATGGGTGGTAATATGGTTAACTGTCGGAAGCTCTCACCCGACTATACACTACGATTCGAGGACGTCTACCACGAATGCACCACGCTGATACTAGAGCATACAGGTGATCTCAATATCATCCCCCGGTATCGAAACAGACTTGATGGAATGCCCAGTTGGGTTCCAGACTATCGGTGCAATATTGTGTCTCCCGCCCTCACTGAGTGGCTTCCAGGCGAGGCGTCAGGCACATCTGACGTCAGTGTCTCCGATGACGGCCGGGTTTTATCTACACGAGGGGCTCGCCTAGGACATGTGAAGCTCGCGCTGAACCACAGTTGCTTTATTGGATATTCTGTAAAGGGTGCAGTCATCATCAATCGTTTTGACGAATTTCTGGAAAGATCTTGCAAAGAAGAACGGCTAGACAAGCACGACGTCTTAACAGGAGTCCTCGAGGTCTTCTGCCAAGACCTAAGTCTTCGCAGGTTTCAAGCAAACCAGGTCCGAGGAGTGTATGATGATATCGTGTCTGATTCGCCATCGACGGGCGGTCAAGGCGACTCGTCTTGTCGAGACATCACGATCGGATTGTTGTCCAAGATTGCAAATGGCTCATTCTTCGTGACTTCGCAAGGCCTGATATTAGGTCTAGCAAGGCATGATGAAGAGGCGAGGGAAGGAGACGTAGTTGTAATGATGAAAGGGGCCGAGCGGCCATGGCTCCTTCGTCATGTCGTCGGAGACGATCAAGAGGACTTCACGTTCGTTGGGGCGTGCGAGCCGCTGTACACCCATATCGGCGGACTGAAGGACTGGCGTTCCATGAACGAAGCTCTGTTCAAGCAGACGCGAGTACAATTCTTTGCACGCAACGAGATACGAGAATTCCGCTTGGTGTAGCACACCACATCGAGAAGCCCGATGAACAATGTACAATAACACCACAGAGCATCTTCGCTCCAGCAAACAACTTACCCCACGCATACATTCAACGTTAAGATGCGCTCAATTTCTGACACAATACAAAATCAACACAGGATATGTCCCGACAGATAAATTACAGAGGTCCGACACATGGTTTCAGGCGGTTCCGTACTCAAAGATCGTCGCATTTACTCTTGTCTCATACACACAACCTCTTTTCCTCGAAGAAAGAAAAGAGATAATGTAGTGTGCATCCAGCTCGAAATCTGCTGATGGAACAGCGGATTGAGCGAGGCAAGAGACCGTTCTACAAAAAGCGCGCGCGTTTAGCTTCCCAAGCTTCGCGTGTACGGCGCGCGTCTCTTCACAAGTTGGTGAAGGAAGGGACGGTGGTGTACTTGTGGGAGGATGTGTACGACATGAGTACACAAACTTCACACGCGCGTGGTGATGGTGGCACCGGTTGTGGTTGGGCAGAGTAGGCGGGAGAAAACGCGGCGTGAGCAAGGGAAAGTTTTTCACGATTATGTCATCGGGCCACTAAACTCATTGCATGCTAGCGTCCATGTTCAGCCCGCGCAATTCATCCCAACTTCTGCCAGTTCATGCGGCAGGTACAGCACCCGCCAATCACAAACGTGCGCAGATGGCGTGCCTAGGGTCCTCGATTGGCCGCCGGCTTCGCTTGCAGAGGTTTGGCATGCTGAATTGACGTGTCGCTAGTGTTCATGTGGCATCCCGTGGATATCCAAGCCGTGCGTAAAGAGTCAAGCGATGTGAAATCATCAACTTCGGTACTCTCTCTAATCCCCTCATCTCTTGTTTTTGGCTGTGGACTTCGAATCGTGACAGCGACTTCAGCATGGCAACGGCCCATCAAGACGAGAAAGCGACGGCGTCATCTCCTCGCCATGACGCCGATACAGCCTTGATTCCAACATCAGCCGACAAAGACATAGCAATCGACCTCGTTGGCGAGCACGCCCAAGACTTTGACCCAGCAATTGAAGCAAAAGTCCTGCGAAAGATTGACTGGTTTCTCATTCCCGCCATGATCGTGGGTATGTGATTCCATCGTCAACCAACAGCCTCATCCATACGTCCATCCCTTCCACTCCAAAACCCAAACCATCACATTCCATCCTCTAACGAGAAACCCTCAGGCTACGGCCTAGTTTACTATGACAAAGCTATCCTCGGTTCCGCCGCCCTCTTTGGCATGACAACCGACCTGCACCTTACCCAAACCCTCTCCCCTGCGACTTCCACCTCTCCAGCCGTGGTCTCAACCACCCGCCTCTCCTGGGCCACCTCATTATTTTACTTCGGCATGCTCGCCGGTCTCTACCCGCTTACCTTCGCCCTCCAACGCTTCAACCTAGGCCGCATCCTTGGTGCCGTCGTCTTACTCTGGAGTCTGATTTGCATGTTGACAGCTGCTGTTACAGACTACAGGGGACTCTATGCTCAACGGTTTTTTCTCGGGTTTGTGGAAAGTATCATTCCGACAGGCTTCATGACGATAGTAAGCAGCTACTACACACAGCGCGAACAGTCCGTACGTCAGTCCTGGTGGTTCAGTTCCACCGGTCTCTTCACCATCATCGGCGGCGCCCTCAATTACGGTTTCGCACAGATAACTTCCGGCGCGTTGAGACGCTGGCAGTACATATACCTCCTCGCAGGCTGTTTGACCTTCCTCTTCGGATGTTTCTGCTTCTTTATCCCTAATTCCTGCGCTGAAGCCTGGTTCTTGACGAGGAGCGAACGCATCGTCGCGGTTGAACGACTAAGGAAGGGGGCGACGGGTGTGCGGTGCCAGAAGATCAAGATGTATCAGCTCAGGGAATGCGTAACGGATGTGAAGTTCTACCTCGTATTCCTCCTTATGGGCAGCGCATACACAGTCAATGGCGCAGTCTCCGGATTCGGCCCACTCATCGTAAACACATTCGGCTGGTCGCCGCTCGCATCCATACTCTGGCAGTTTCCACTTGGACTCATTTGTCTCGTTACAATTCTCCTTTGCGGCTGGTTATCCTCGCGGATACCCAACATCCGAATCATCCTACTCATCGTAAACTGCCTCCCCGTCATCGCAGGCTGCGCAATGATCTGGAAATCCTCCTGGACATACCATGCGCCCACGCCCGTCGCCGGTTACTCAATCATCGGTACCTTCGGCGCGGTAGTCAGCCAAACAATCGTCATCGCCATGTCCAACGTCAGCGGCGCGACGAAGAAGAGTGCGATGGCTGGCACAGTCTTCGTGGCATATTGCGTGGGCAACATCGTCGGTCCACTGTTGATCAGAAGTCAAGAGAAGGGTGCGCATTATCCCAGGTTATGGACGGGCCTGATCATCTGTTACTGTATCACGATCGCGTCGGCGGTGGCGCTTTATGCTGTGCTGAAGAGGGAGAATAAGAGGAGAGAGATGTTGAGTGTGGATGAGGAGGAAAGAGATAAGATAGCGTTTTTGGATTTGACAGATGGTGAGAATATGTATTTTAGATATGTCTTGTAGGGTGTCATGGCTGTCTGCATCGAAACTTCGAGGTTTGTTGGTTTGACTTTCGGGTTACACAGCCGCCGGGCTGACTGTCAGGTACATGACTCGAAGCTAGGCAACCATTTTGGACTTCCGCGTCTCTTTCGCATTTTGTCTCATAGCATGATAACCATTACCTATCTCCAGCATTCTTCACTCTCCAGAACCCTCTTCGCATGGCTATGGCATGGATCTCAAAAGTGGTCAACGACTTTCCCGCGCTGCGAATGCAATTCGAGATGGCCGTCAATGACTGGCATCACGCATATTTGGCAACGGTACCCCCGCGCGCACGTCCGCCGCGGGGCGTCACATCCAACTGGGCCGGTCAGTATCTCTTCAGCCTCCGCCCGAGAATAGGCTTGTGTTGCACGACCTAAGATTACTTAGAAGTACCTGTACCACAGATCGTCAATTGGATGAGTGAGCCACTGTTTCCGCCACCACCACCATCGCAAACATGTCTCTCTACTGGAACACATCATAGTCATTACAACGGGCAACCTGAGTTGTCGAAGGTCATTGTTCATCAGGACATGGAGATCGACCGCCATGCGACCAGTCTAAAGAGTGAGACAGTTGTAGAGAGGAGTAATTACAAACTCGACTTTTGGGAGTGTGCGAGAGGAAGTTGCGGATACGTGGCGAGGTATAGCTTTGGTCATCTGGATGAAGACAGGGACTGGGACATGATGAAGATCCAGCATTATACTGTCAGGATATGCGGAAACAGCAACATGATGGAGATGAACTTTGGTAGGCCTGAGCTAAGCGTTGTATATATGTATCATCTGTATACGGTCTTTATGAACGAGGTGTTAGTTTGGTAACTAATATCAAGTCCTGCTCGGATCAGAGATAACCCTGCTTAATACCGACCCGAACATGCTTAGCTACCGAAACTACCCAGCAACAGAAGAAGCCGGCGTACCCTTACTAGCCAACCTTTGACTCCTTCTCGTCACCTGTTGCTCGCCCTCGCCGACCTCTAAAACTCCCCTCTCCGAAACACGACTAGGCGGGTCCTCACACCTAAAATCTTTACTTCCAGACACAGGTTGTGAATTGAAGCTCGCAGTCCTGGATCCAGATAACCACGGCCCATTGTCAAACGTAGAAGACTGCCGCCGATACTTCGCACCTGCATCGATCAGCGCATCAACAGCCGCCTCATCCATATATACATCATCCATGCCATTGATAGGAAAGGCGTCGAGATCTATATTCGACCAAGAAGGATCGTTGTTCGCGGGAAAGAAAGCGCTTAGGCTTTGTTTGCGGTCGTCGAACGGGATTGCGGGGGCGTAATTAGACATGAACGCGTCGGTGGGAGGAGGGACGACAGATTGGGCAGGGAGGTCGGCGGGTTCGGAATAGTTGATACGTTGTTTCTTGCGGAGACCTGCGCGGGAATCCTGACGGGGTTTGGTGCCGTTGATCATTTTCTCGAATTCGTCAGAGTCGTCGGAGTCGTCGATGGTGGTTATGCGTCCTGTAGATCGTGCCGTAGACGTGCGTTTGAGTGTCGGGCGCTCGTCCTCGGATGAGTCGATTTCGGATGCTTGACGCTTCTTAGAACGCGAACGCTTCCGCGAAGGAGTCCGTCGCTCATCATTTGAATCTGCGAAAGTAATGGTCCGGCGCGGTGTTTTGCGCTTACCACCAATACCTGCCTCGTCTTCTTTGATGAATTCATCTCGCTTCTTCTCCATTTCCGCAATGCGCTGGTTGATTTCCGGATTAAGAATATCGTAGTAGGCCGAGTAGTCGAATTCCTTCTTTGATCCCTCTCGTTTGAAGTCTGCAAAGACATCCATTTTCTCAATTTTCTTGTCCACGAGCTTGACTTCCATGTCACCGCGGTGGACAGGGAAAGAACCGGGGCGAATTTTCCGCTGGAGGATGAACTGTTTCATTTGGGATTTCGCACGATGTTTCATGTTCATGCCGTAGAGCGCATAGATGAGCGTACGTTCGTGAGGCTTAGGATGACCGCCCTTGTAGTGTTCATGGACAGGGTAGTCCGAGAACTCGTGAGTGTCAGCTAACCGCCCTTTACTAGTAGCTTCGATGAACTTGCTAGCCAAAGCCGCTTCATAATGATGTTTCGAACCAAATGCGGATGCGAAATGACCTTTCGGCTCTTTTTCCATGCCTACACGCTGATCAACCTTGACGTTAGCGACCTGGCAGATGTGGGCAAAGTCTAGGAAGCGCTCCATACAGTATAGATGAGCGAAGCCCACACAGTCGTACGGATCGACTACACCAGTGCCGTAGGTTCGGTGCTTTTCGTCGAACGCGACGCGGTAGTTGCCGACTTCAGCTGTGCCTTTGCCGGTGTACACACGCATTGGGCATGCTTCGAAGCGACAGTGACTGTGAGATGCAGAAGCATAGCGGCGCGCAGAGTCTGAGGCTACGGGCTGAATCCAGATGCGCAAATTGTCGCCGGGATACTGTGTAATGTACTCATGAATCTCGCGGGCAGTCATGGTACGCTTCTTGAACTCGTGCATGCCGTTGTTTTGACTGTACTCGAACCTGAACCCCGATGATGACCAGTTGCCGTGAGGAAGAGGTTTGGTTTTGTACTTACGACCTTCTTCTGTGTGTTGATTGATTCGAGCGGTGCGTGTGGTTTCGCCCCTGGTTGTGTTGTTTACACGAACCCAGGGCTTGTCGTCGCATTTCTTTGGCTTCTCCCCAGCTTTGACGACAGCTACCCTGACAGGCTTGCTGACCGAGCTTGCGCAGGAAACGTTAGAACCGTGACGGGTATCTACTGATGACCGGGTTCGATGTGTAAGCTGCCTGGGAGGTTGCTTGGCGACATAAGCGTTGTCATCAAATCCGGGATCAGATCGAGTAGGTTTACGTTTGGGTGATTGGGGAGCAGGGCGACTGGATTGGCGAGAGCTTGAAGGAAAGGTTCTGTTCAGTTGGTGTGATCCAGTATGCTGCTCGGTAGGCATCGCCACATGTCTGTTGTATTGTTGCGGATACGGCTGCTGTGTTGGTTGGTAGTACGGCTGGACTGGGTACATCGAAGTGAATGGGTCAGGATACGTCTGTGAAGGCTGGGCAGCAACAGGGTACTGCGACATGTCCGGCATGAACGCGTTGCCACCTGGAATCACTGAGAAGCCGGGAGTGGTGTCCAAGAACTGAGATGGCATCTGGAAGTTAGCATCCCAGAGACCGAGATCTTGAGAGAAGTCATAGGTATGATCAATAGGTTGGTTGCCATGCGGCTCTACAGGAACCAAATCAGTCGACACTTGTCCAACCTCATTCTGGTTGACCAACTGATATGACTGATCACCGGGTTTATCTTGCACCATCGCAAACACGAATCCTTGACCAGTTTGGTTTTCCTGAGAGGAGTCACCGAATTGGAATGCATTTGCGTTGATCCCGTTCAAAGGCTCCTCATCCATGGGCACGTCGAGACCATTAGTGGTTGTCCAGTCGAACGCGTCTAAACCGGACATATCGTCGTTGCAATCCTCGTTGAGATTAAATTGCGTCAAGTCAAACTCGCCGAGAAGGCAAGGATCGATTGTACTGGGTAGACCAAGCACAGCGCCGGAGCCGGTTCCTGATACTTGATGTGCATGACCTGTTCGTAGATGAGTATCTGTTATCGAATCAGGCTGACGAGTGTGAAGCGTTGGAAATCCAGACTGTAGATCGAATGCGTTTGCGGGTTGACCCTTGTGTGACCTCGGAGAGATTGGCGAAATGCGCGAAACAACAGATGGATACATAGCGGAAACGATCTGATAGGTTCACGGCGTACGGGACGCACAGATAACACGGCTCACATCGTATATATATGAGAGCTCACGATATTCTTTCATCGAGTCTTATGAGGTTACAGATTTGAATTGGACAAAGGAATGTCGAGTGTAAGTATACTATGGTGTGCATCATTGTGCTGAGCTACAAAGCGGTCTTGAAAGGGTGGCCAGGCGGTGAAATACCAGCATTGTTCGAGTTGCTCTATCGATTGAAGAACAACCCAACTCATCATCGTGGCAATCGCTTACTTCAAGCAGACGTGGTGTTGAACAAGACTCCGGACCGCCTGGTAACGTTGACGAATGGATCGCATAGACCAATGACTATTCTTTGTTAGCCAATGAGCTCTCTGATATCGGTAGAGAGAAGCAGGTAGCCAAAGAAGGTGATCAGATTATATAAAGCAAAGTTTTCGACACAATTTTTACGAACAGGTCTGTGAATTTTGTCTTTTTTTCATCATGAAAAGGTAGGGATGGGAATGATGGAACTTACCAAACATTAGTTTAGTCTTGCACTGCACTAGAAGTGAGCATGTACGAAGTCTAACATGTAGTCATGTAGCGCGTTGTGACGCGCTGAGGGCCTTGATCGAAGGCACATGCGCGAGGCTTTCGCAGAAGACCACTTTGCACATTATGATCGTGAGAACCCAAGATCATAGTGTTCAAAGACGTTCTTTGCGAACGCGCTGCGCATGTGAAGTGAAAGTTGAGGCGCGGCAGCTCGAATACAGAGAAGAAAAGTTCTGCCGAGGCGCTAGGGTCGGAGCATCTATATCGCCGAGGTCCTGGACCATCTCCAACCACACGGGCCTTCCCGCCTTGACACCTGTGGCCCCAACCGTGGGCCTTACCATTGACGTCCGCCTTAGGTATCCACAGGTTCGGTTCTCTCATCATGTTGCGAGGATCAAACATGCGCGCCGCATCTGCACGTGAGTTGTTTTGGGATGTTCCCTTCTGCACCAGGCCCACGCGAAACACGCCTCACGCGCCCTCGTCAAACACGGACTGTTTAGTCAAACATGAGAGCTTTCGAGAACGCCAACCTATCGCATCTAAAGAGTAGATTGATACACCGTCAAAACTCCACTCCGCTGTCAATCATACCATAATTCCAGATTTGTATAACATCGAGCGCTTTTCCTCATTGTCATGTGGAGAACGAGTCGTCAAGGCTCTTTGTATCGAAACTTGTGTTTCCGATCGGTCAACTCCAGACCTTTGCGGATGACACTGCCTCCTGGGTTGTTCGGAAATGCAGCTCACCCGTCAGGGAGACCGACTTCTCACAGGCATATCCAGACTTTGACATCATCCGACTTTGCAACTCGGCAAGGCTTTCTTTCATGCCGTCATCGATGAGGCCAGCTTCCCCAGCGTACTTGACCTCGGTGCTCATGCCACCGTCTAGGTGTGGACACAGTGTTTCAAGATCGACGGGCCTCTCGAGACACCTTGACCTTGACAACAGGGGCTCCCACGCATCAAACATTCTTCGGACTGCCGAGAACACTGTGGCGGGGTTTGATCCGCATGGGTTACATTTCTAAACACCAAACATCTGGGATGCTTGAGCTGCGACATCCAGGTCATTCACAAACCATTCGGGTTACCATCTACGTCAGTAACCAATCGGTGAAGGCCTGCAGAATAACAAAGTTCATGACCCATACCACACACCCGATCCCTCACCATGCATGCAACGCGTTCTACCGGGATGTCTACTGCCAGGGCTATCATGCTCAAGGCCATGCGTTCATAATGCGCGGCTACCTCTACCTGCAGCTCGGATCCTTCAGCGTCGTGCTACTTCTCGACTGTCAATCTTCCGCCAGTGCGTGGTTGGTCCTTCCTCCAATTTCGGACCGTATTTCTTTACATCAATGTTAATTTTCACCTAAACTATGGCAAGCGAGAAGCTTCAGGAGCTGGTGCTCCTTGGTCGAATCACCTTCTACGGTATAATAATACTTATCATTTTGAGCTATATCACGGTCGGTTTGCGGTTATGGGTCCGGTATCGCATCACGAGATCTCCAGGTTGGGACGACGCTGCTATGGTGGCCTCACTTTTACTGTTTACTTGCTATTGCGCTTTCATAATGGCCATCACCTTTCGGAGCATGGACCGAAAACTCTTCGGTGAAGAGGACATCCACGTTACTTTAATTGTGAGTATGCGTCCAGATCAGTCATCATGCAGAATGCTAATAAGACCGTAGTTTATTCAACTTTCCGAAGTCTTTTATGTACTTACGACGAGCTTTCTCAAGGTCTCGCTAGGTCTCTTCTTCCTAAGGGTCCTTACAAAGAGATGGCAAAAGCATCTATTCCACGTCATTCTCGTCATCAGCGGAACATACGGCCTCTACTACGTCCTGATCATTATTTTCCATTGCGGCGACCCAACACGCCTCGCCGATAACCTGCGATCACCGTCTTCACCCAATTGCCTGCCATCTGTTCTTGTTCTCACGTCCGGGTATCTCTACGGCGTCATCAACGTGATCGCTGACTGGACGTTCGTATTGATACCGATCTCCGTTCTATTGGATAGCGACCTCGACCGAAGGAGCAAGATTAGTGTCAGCATGGTTATGGCGCTCGGTGCGGTGGGAAGTGTGAGCTCGATTCTTAGAATGGTCTACCTGAAGGGACTGGGCTATAATGGCCCAGGGCTACATGGTGAGTCTTCCCTCACCTATATGATATCAGCCGAGAATATACTAACGACTATCTAGTCGATACCGTCAAAGCAACGATATGGGCGACCGCCGAGCCGGGCACAGGAATAATCGCAGCCTCAATCGCCATCCTCAGGCCGCTCTTCCGCAAGATCGCGTCCGATGTTCGGTCAAAGGCGTCTTCTTATTCTAACTCACGCAAGGGGTCTCTCCCATCTGACGACTCCATTGCGCTGAGGAGCCAAGACATGGTTGCGCAGGAGATGAAGAACAACCAGAAGCACACCGTATACAGAATCAGCGAGGATCTAGACCCGTGGAGTCCAACGATTGTTGCGACGGCGGATGTGCAGAGGATGATTGTAGTGAAGGGCAGGATGAGCCCAGCCCCAGGTGCACGACCAACGAGAGATGATAATATGATATAATGCATGGACATGCGATTACGCGTATGTAGGATATTAAAAGTTCCATAAAAGACCCAGGAGGACTTTACGTGCTGTCCACAATCCAAATATTACTTTAGGATTAAAACTGTTGTACCTCCTCGCCCCCGGATGTATTGCCGTGTTGGACTATGTCGTCGATTTGATGTGGTGTTACAATCTGCATTCAGTTGGTTTACTGTTAACTAACCAAACAAGGGCAATCGACTCTTCCTAGGCCTCTCGAATATCGATGAATGTTGTGGTGTTCAACATTACCTCGGCGCCCTGATGGCGTGGTGGAGCAGGCCCAACGGATGACGTGCCGAAAAAGGCAAAGGCGGGAGTGCGGCCCCAGGAACAGCGGAACATGGCGAGTTTGGAGCTTGGAATTGGTTATCCCAAGGTCACCAACCATGACATAACTACCCACCTAACCGCGCCATGCGTCCTTCGCAGCAAGAGACGACATGTGGAAACCGAACCTCCACCTCCAACGAGGCACGATAAGACGCCGAGTTGCATGCATCTGCGCCCACGCCCCCGGGCTCCCCTCAGCATACCACCACCCCCGCCAGCGACGCTGCTTCCACGAATACTTCATAACCCACATACCCTCGACGTCGCTGCATCCAGACTCGCGAGTCGCCCAGCCTGCGCTGCACCACAAGCTCCCACGCGACAAGAGCACCCCGTACAATGCGGACAAGTCGGGGCGGTCGCCGGCTGCCGTCGTGGGCACGTCGCGCGAAATGACCGTAGTACGCATACCATTGAAGAGCGCAAAACATCATTTCGGCGTCTCGTTGTCGCGAGGGTCGCGGCCATACAACGAGGATGCGTTCCAGGCGGGCACCATTGACCTCCCCGCTTTCGCACGGCGGCGCCCCATTTCTCTGAGCCGAAAGGGACAGAGCGCGGACACCGAGGTCACGCCAGACGTAGGCGTGAGTGGCGATCCACAGGTCTTCTACTTTGGCGTCTTCGATGGCCATGGCGGCGCTGAGTGCTCTGGCTTCTTGAGGGAGCAGCTGCACGATTACCTCGAGAAGGCCACCAAGCAGTTCGAGCTCACGAGCAGTCTTACACGGGGAAGAACCGAGACTCAGTCTGGCAACCCAAAGGCCAAGGGCGAGGCTTCTTCTGGCGACCGAAGACAGAGGGACAAAGAGAGCCTAGACGCCATAGAGACGCATACGCCACCGGGCACGACAGCTATGAAGCCGCCACAACCTGGAAGTAAAGATCAGCTGCCAACTGCCGGCTCCAAGTCCATGGACGGACCAATCGAAGGCGTAGCTCCAGTGCGACAGTCAGACAGTGTACGAAAAGCTGAAGATCTCGAGCAGCAGCTAGTCAAGCAATGGAAAGAGCTCGTAGGCGGATACTTCAGACGCTTCAAGCCCGAGTACTTCTCCATGTCCGCGGGCGGACGCGGCCATCCAGCCGAGAAAGAAGTCATTGAGAAGCGCCACACCAGCAATCCAACAATACCCGAAGATGTCAAAGAAGGCATCGGAATTGAGACCGTCCTCGAATACGCCTTCCTCAAAGCCGACTACGACTTCGTCGCCGCGCAAGTAGGCAAAAAAGAAGAAGACCCCGTCCGCGCAGATAAGGCTCTGAACGACGACGACATCCTCGGCCAACCCTCCCGCCAAACCAGCAAAAACATCGGCGGCACAAGCCGCTTCAAAGGAGGCAGCACCTGCAGCGTCGCCCTCATCTCGACGCCTACACCTTCACCCTTCTGGCACCCATCCTCGCCCTCCTCACTCATAACCGCCCATGTCGGCGACACGCGAATCCTCCTCTGCAACACCGCCACCGGCCTCGCCGTACCCCTAACATCGAACCACCACCCCTCCCTCCCCGAAGAAGCCACCCGCCTCCGCCGCTTCGCCGCCTCCTTCGTCACCGACTCCTTTGGCGAAGAACGCATGTCCGGTCTCGCCAATACCCGTTCTTTCGGCGACATGGCACACAAACGCGTGGGCGTGAGTGCCGAACCCGAAATCAGACGTATAGAACTGTCGCCTGCAGAATACTCGTTCCTCATCTTATGTTCGGATGGTGTGTCGGGCCATTTGTCAGACCAGGAGATTGTGGATATTGTTAAAGAGGCTAAGACGCCGGAACAGGCGGCGCGCGATGTGGTGGCTTTTGCTACCGAGACGAGTACGGGAAGTGAGGGCGCAGATAATGCGACGGGCTTGGTTGTTAGGTTGGGGGGTTGGGAGAGGAGGGGAGAGGGGGGATTGGGGAGTCTGGGGACGAAGGAGATGAGAGATTGGAGGAGGCAGGAGGCAGAGAATCCGAGGGCTAGTGGGAGGATGTGAATGCATTGTTTCTTTTTTAGAAGGGTTTGGATTGAGGGGATCATGGTACATGATAGATGTTTGTTGGAAACATAGCGGGTGGGTTGGATGCATTGTAAAAAGGTTTACTATATCGATCCTCCTATGAAGGAGTACATATCGTGTCTACTCTCGTTGTACTGTGAAACGCGATGCCGTGTATGTCTCCCTCGCAGCTTGTATCTATACGGTACACCTCAGAGAGAACAAGCTTTTTCGTACATATTGGTACTTGTCAGGGGACATAGTTCAAGCCTAGTCAAACCATCTTTCAGTAGCACCAAAGAGCTCCCGCCAGATAGGACTGGTAAGAGCAACTCTGCCTACTCCATGGATGAAATGCCTGACACGTGAGCATTTACCTCCGGCACACAGTCGTCCGTGAGCCTATGTTCAAGCGAAAGGTCGTTCGCCGTGACCTCTTCTAGTCGTTCAAATATAGGTTCAGCTGTAGGCTGCCGTCGCTACCAACTACTTTAAAGACATCCGCGATGTAGGCTGCCGCGATGAATCGGAACTTCCAAGATGATGATGTTCGCGTTCTAGGGGTTTTGCATCGATGCGATTCGTCATGATGCGCGCGTGTGGTCCAATAGCCTCGAGGTGATTGACGGGCTGCAGGTAGTCGCTTGGCTTGGCTTCGAACAGAACCACAGCGGCGCGATGTAACAGTGATAACAGTTCGAGATGCACAGCGACTAAGCGGGATGTCATAACTCTATGCAGTGTCTGTGCAAGACGGTAGGACCCTCGTTCAGTGTCATGGCTTCCACAGGGCTGCATGCGGGAGGGCGAGCTCAATCTGGGGGGGAAAGCACGATGCGCAAGCGAGCCAATGCGCCGTTGCCAGGCGGGCGCCGCTCCTTCCTACAACGAACCCATCGACGGTGCCTGAAGCAGCGGAAGAATAAATTTCTCTTCTCACCCTCACCCTCACGACGCCGTCTCACTATCAAACGCCGTGTTTGCTTCTTGCTTGCTGCTCTTTGACTGGCTGCCCTTACGCCCGTCTCCTTGCACCAAAGTCCGCACTGTTAGTGGGGCAGACCCTTTAGGAGGAAAACAACACGTGAACTAGGCCTGTCTACGCTCGACCTTCTTTCGCTTCAAATTCCCTCCCTACGACGGACGCCCTCCGCAACCTTACCACTCCCTACCTTCCTGCCGCACCACCTTCTGCTTCTCCCGCCACCGCGGCCCTTTAATTCTTCCCACCGCCAGATACCCCGCCTAAATCTTTGAAGCACCCTTCAGCAGTTATGGATATCAACCAGGTGTTGGAGGGGACCTACTCCGCCGGTATGCTGCCTTTACTGAGACCCGCACTTTTCCAGAAGCTCGACTGACCCTTCTGCAGACGCTAGCATCCGTAACAGCGCCGAGCAACAGCTCATCCAGGCTGCCGACTCCAACTTCGTAAGTCTCCCCGCAGTAAGAAGGCTGCACGCCCCCCGAGACATAGCCAGAACATGTCCACTAACACGTCTCTCCCACCAGCCTCAATACCTCACCGTCCTCGGCGGCGAACTCGCAAATGAACAAGCCGCGCCCCAGATCCGACAGGCCGCCGCCCTGGCCCTGAAGAACGCCTTCACCGCTCGCGAGTATGCCCGGTTACGTCAGGTCCAAGAACGATGGCTCAACCTCGACACCCAGATCAAGCAGCAGGTCAAGGACATGGCCCTGCGGACTCTGGCCACACCCAACAAGAATGTAGGCTCGGCCGCCGCACAGTTCATCGCCTCCGTCGCTGCTATCGAGATACCCCGCAATCAATGGCCGGAGCTCATGACCTCGCTCGTCGAGAGTGTCGGTCAGGGCAGCGACGCCCAAAAGCAATCTTCGCTTACCACAATCGGTTTCGTTTGTGACACAGACGACGTAGAGTTGAGGGACGCGCTAGCACAGCACTCCAACGCTATCCTGACGGCTGTCGTCCAGGGTGCCCGCAAGGAGGAGGCCAACAACGACGTCCGTGTAGCCGCCATCAACGCGCTCAGCGACTCGATCGAGTTTGTACGTTCCAACTTTGACAATGAAGGCGAGCGCAACTACATTATGCAGGTCATCTGCGAAGCCACACAGGCGGACGACAGCCGCATCCAGCAGGGCTCGTACGGATGTCTCAACCGCATCATGGGTCTGTACTACGACAAGATGCGCTTCTACATGGAGAAGGCGCTATTCGGTCTAACCATCCAAGGCATGAAGAGCGAGGAAGAGGATGTTGCCAAGCTGGCTGTCGAGTTCTGGTGCACCGTCTGCGAGGAGGAAATCGCCATCGAGGACGACAACACCCAAGCTCAAGCCGAGGGCTCCACCGAGCTCCGTGAATACTTTAACTTTGCCCGAGTTGCCACACAAGAGGTCGTGCCAGTGCTTCTCGAGCTTCTCGCCAAGCAAGACGAAGATGCCGACGACAACGAGTACAACACTTCCCGCGCAGCCTACCAATGTTTGCAGCTCTGGGCACAGTGTGTTGGTAGCGGTGTTATGCCCCCAGTTCTTGCTTTCATCGAGAAGTACATCCGCTCCGAAGACTGGCACTACCGTGATGCGTCCGTTTCCGCCTTTGGTGCCATCATGGAGGGTCCCGAGGAGAGTGTGCTAGACCCCATTGTCAAGCAAGCTCTGCCCACTTTAATTGGAATGATGGACGACCAGAATATTCATGTCAAGGACTCCGCTGCGTACGCTTTGGGCCGCATTTGCGAGGCTGTTCCTAGTGCGCTCGACGCGCAGCAGCATCTGCCTCCCCTGATCGGCGCTCTCTTCAATGGCCTTGCCAGCAACCCTAAGATGGCCGCATCGTGCTGTTGGTCATTGATGAACTTGGCTGACAGGTTCGCCGGAGAGCCCGGTTGCACGACCAACCCATTGTCGCCCCATTTCGCTCAGAGCGTGCAGAGCCTCTTGCAGGTCACCGAGCGTGCTGACGCCGACAACACTCTCCGCACAGCCGCATACGAAGTACTCAACTCCTTCGTCAACAACGCCGCCGGTGACAGCGTTCCTCTGGTCAACGAGCTTGCCAACGTCATTCTTGAGCGTCTCGAGAAGTCCATGGCACTCCAATCGCAGGTCGTCAACGTCGAGGACAAGCTGACTCTCGAAGAGATGCAGACTAGCTTGGCCAGTGTCATCATGGCCATCATCCAGCGCATGGAGAGCGACATCAGGCCCCAAGCCGACCGCATCATGCAGGCGCTACTGAGTCTGCTTTCATCTCTGCCTCCCAAGTCCAGTGTCCCAGACACTGTCTTTGCTGCCATTGGTTCGATCGCAACGGCTCTCGAGGAGGACTTCCAGAAGTACATGGAGGCTTTCTCTCCATTCCTGTACAACGCTCTCAACAACCAGGAAGAGCCCGCACTCTGCTCCATGGCCATTGGACTGGTATCCGACATCACCCGATCCCTGGGCGAGAACGTTCAGCCATTCTGCGATGCTTTCATGAACTCTCTTCTTCACAACCTCCGCAGCCCTCAACTCGGCAATCAGCTCAAGCCAGCTATCTTGCAATGCTTCGGTGATATCGCACATGCCATCCACGGCGCATTCGAGACTTACCTGACTGTTGTTGCTCAAGTGCTCCAACAGGCTGGACAGGTCACATTGACCACGGAGGGCAACTACGAGATGATTGACTACATTACCTCTCTTCGTGAGGGTATCATGGACGCATGGGATGGTTGCATTGTTGCCATGAAGAGCAGCAACAAGAGTAAGTGTCATAATCTAAGACGTTGATCATTCGCTAACAGCTACAGCTCAACTCATCGTTCCCTACCTGGACTCGATCTTCGATCTTCTACGCACCATCCAGGCAGACAGCAACCGCACTGAGGCTCTTCTCCGATCGTCATGTGGTGTTATCGGGTAAGTACAGGCATCTCTATTGCAAAACATCCCACTAATGTTATCTAGTGACCTCGCGGATGCGTTCCCAGCTGGTGACTTCAGGGAGTACTTCCGTCACGAGTTCCTTACCGCAATGGCGAGGGAGACACGCGCAAATGCAGACTTCAGCGGCCGAACCCGAGATACCGCTCGATGGGCACGTGAGCAGATCAAGCGTCAAGTCGGTACGTCGCTCAGCAACAACCCCTACCTCCGCCCCGCTCCTCTCTAGTAGAATCGGCATCCCCACTTTATGTATATACCTCAGCCCACTGACTTCCCCTCCCCAGGCGGCAACCAAGGCGTAATGGCCTGATTGTCTTGATACCCCTTCCCTCCCCCAGCACTGCTTGAACCATGCGTTGGCCAATATGTTGGATAACCTCTCTGAGGTATCGTCTAGCATGTGGCTAAAACATAGGTTCTAGCTCCCCCTCGCGTATTCCAGCACCTCGAAGCACAGCACGGAGCCCATCCGTTCGAAGAATGTCGTCGCGCACGGAACTTCGCTCCCCCGGAGTCATCGGTCTACGTCTCTCGCAGCTACCCGGAAATCCTTGGTAGAGCAACGTCGTCGTATGCGTCCCACTTCGGAGGAGGAGATAGATTCGACTCTCCGCGAAACGACGATGTCAATGATTTTGGGCATGTTTCTGGGCATTGGGAACGGATTAATGGTTTCGAAATCTTTCGTCTAGCCATGGACACAACTCCACGTGGCTGCGGCCATCCCGGTACTTCCTGAAGTTGGCGCGAAAGACATCCAGCACTCAGCACCCCGCCCGACCCCGCAACTCCCAGCCCCAGCACAATGCGCATCCCCCAAACTATCGTCAAACCCGAATCGCATAGCACCCTCTCCAACCCAATCATGTAGCACCAAAAGTCTTGTAAGGCAAAGGAAAGCTGTTATAGCTCTTATACTTGCCAAGGAGAATAATAGATTCATTCACACCCCCTTTTTTGTACACTCACTTTTTCTTCTTCCTCCTTCGGGGCTTCAACTTCCCTCAGCACAATATTGGAAATAGGCGTTTATACCACTTTGACTACTTTAACTTCGAAGTGGTTTGTTTCTGTGGAATGGGTATACTTGCTGGCTGGTGGTTTATAGTTGTAATGATTACTGCGTAGACTTGATGTTGAGATGCTGATGTGAGGATGTGTGTGCTTAGTTGCCGGTGTCTTTGAGATGCCATCATATTGCGGGTGTTGCGGTATTGTAAGACTCCCCGCGATTTGCATTCATGCTAACAGCAGTCGAAGTGGATTCTACCGAACTCTCCGTTTCACTACAACAACTCTTGCTCTTCACCTCCATCGTCTCTTTATAGCCATTGTTCACCCAACTAATAAGTTAAGGAGATCGAACAGGCCATTCAAATGACACATCGGAGTTACGGCACGTGGAGTCTTTTACCGTAGAAGTGTTGACCTTGCTGTGCCACCTGGGCATCTGTACAGAGGAGCTCGTATCAAATAAGCCACCCTACCCTACGTCAACCAAGCATTGGCGCTATTGGCCCCACTTATGTCACCGTTATCATGCACAAAACAACTCCCATCGCATTGACAACACTGCGAATCCAATAGCCACTTGCGACACTCTCCCTAGGCACAATATGAGCGCGAAATCGGATTACACTCAGGGCATCGAAAAATCAGATTCGACTGATGCCATCACCAACACCAATGCTAACAGAAACAACATCGATCCCGACGAGACACCACCAATCTACTGCGACGCTGAGCCATCAGCCCAGCCACCAAAATATCCTGATAACCAATCCACTTCGCCTACTGACCTGCAAAAGGGGCCCACTTCACGACCTAAGCCCACAAATCAACACAGAACTGGCGCACCCGCAAGTACCATCGCGGCAGTCCTTGGTTCTGAATATACCGATTTAGATGCTCAGCGACGAGCAGACCGTAAGAAGAAAACGCTTCGCGAACGCTGGAATGATTTTAAGGAAAGAAACTTTGGCGACTATGATGTTTCTGAGGACAGGGCTGGAGCGGCGAGTGCGGCCGAGTGGGATGTGCAGGGTGGGAGGCTGAGTGGAGGAATGGCGACGCCGTATCGGAGGAAGGGGAAGTGAGTTGGTAAATTAGGCCGCGCTTAAATTGGTGGTTGGAAGGCAGTCTGCCTGGTAGGAGGGAGTGGCTCGGCGCTGATTTCGTTAAAGACACTCTACCGCCAAGTCGAATCCGCTCTTAGCGGAACGGTATTCTGTATGTCGAGGACATGCAAACTTCTACAAAGTTGTGACCAAAACCAGTCTTACTACACTTGCACTTCCACTGCTCTACCCTCAAAGTCTTCACATAGTATCTTCACAGCCCCATCACCACAATGCGCCATTTCACTCAAACTCAACCGCACATTCTTCCCACCCGCCACTTACACGATCAACCCCGCAATCACCTACCCATGGCGCTCACAAAGCCGTCGCCCCCGAAGCCACTGCGAAAGCCCGTCCACCCCCCTCCATACTCTAGACTGCGAACACACCATCAAACCACCTTCCACACCCTCCATACCCTCACCAGCCCTAAAGTCGCCACGCTCAACAAATTGAACCCATAGTATTTACGCCACGAAACCCCAACTTCCACTCTCTCGGCTTAGACGACAGAAAAACCTACATCCGTATTCATTTATCCGCCCGGTATGCATCGAAGACCGTATACGCAACCAGTACCTGCGATACGTCGAGGAGCACAAAAAGAACCCCGCGGCCTCGCGGAAGCTGACAGACAACATGGAAACGAATATACAGCTTTGGACGTACGAAGCAGTGCTAAAAGCCGTAGAGAATGGAGGTAGGATCTGTGAAGCAGCCGATGGAGATGGTGAGAGGGGTTCAAGGCTTTGGGACAGAGAAGAGACACGATAAATGGGGTTTAGGATATGAGGAAGGAATGCAAGGGAGGGATGGAAGTAGAGGAGAACAAGGTCCCACTTGGAGAAGATGCAAGGAAAGACGCTTGGGATTAAAAGAAAAAACACGATAGGGCTTCCTCTGATGATGCAGACATGGACGATCTGGCTGACAAACTGATAGATGCGAAGATTGGAGTAGCGCAAGACAGCGTGGTGGATGATCTTGCGGCAGGTGTGTTAAGATCGTAGAAGATCCATCTTTCTCTGCCCGTCCGCCTACCTGCCTGTTCCGGACATGGAGTAAAAAGACGGGTAAAAAAACATTAAAATATATATAACAGCAGGGTGTCAAACAATATAGTCAGTTGAATACTAGATGCACGATATCAGAGAATAATCAGGTGTATTGTCCTTGAAAGACTAGAGACGAATCGCTACCAAGCCACAGTAGCGATTACGAGGTATCTGTGCCGGGTGCTAAGTTAGATAGTATTAGAGTATCATGCACGAAGGAAAAATAGTAAGCGCTAATACAAAGGCAGCGATGCGAGCGCGAGTAGTGTCACTATGTTCCAACGCCACAGGCCCTGGCCACAGGCAGGCAAGCCATCGGGGACCCTTTGGGCCACCGTCGGCCCTCACCAGCCATGATCCCGTGCCATAGGCATATATCATCCTTCTAGGAGTCTTAATAGCTCCTCAAGAATTCGTCTCAATACAAGCCTATACCTATATCTTAGTGCCTGCCCAAGTTCTCCTCACAGCCTGCTACGTGTCGAAGCATGCACCTACGTTATCGTGTTGTTAGGTGGCCAAAACTCGACCATAGCCAAAACGCGCACGGACAAGGTACTGGTACCGTAGCTGACCGCGACAAAAAAGCAAAAGAGGACCCGCTGTACCGTGTCCGTGCGCTCAATGCGCGCTTGTGGCACAGTCACGGAGCTGTCAGCCTTGCGAATCGCCTTCAGCCTTCCCTTCGTCTCATATACTATTAAAGCATGTCGGGAAGTTATTGATCCTAGGTGTATGCTAATTTCGAAGGCTAGCTAGCTACCTACCATTCATATCGCTTCTACACTCTGATCGTCATCTCGTTGTTACCACACCAGTGCACCTATTTCTATCTGGATCATGGCTGTTCCTTTCGGATTCTCTGCAGGAGATTTTATGGCAGCAATTCATCTGGTCCACAAGGTCAACATAGCCTTACGCGAAACAGATGGTGCGAGCTCGCAGTACAATCAGACCATTAGTGAGCTACAAGGCCTTGAGGGATTGCTGCGAGGTGTGCAAAGTGCCTATTCTGCAGATATTGATCCTCAGCAACTCGACAAGTTACAATTACTCGGACATCAATGTTATATCCCACTCAACACATTTCTCTCAAAGATCAAAGCTCTAGAGCCCAGCCTCGGGAACCTCGATACAAGAAGTGATTGTATTATCGACCGGACTAGAAGGACTGCACGCAAGGTACACTGGGGTCTTCAAGTAAAAAAAGAGCTATCCGAGCTTACTGCTGCCATGGGGCTCCGGATCAATGTTATCAACATGCAATTACTTCTAATCAACGCGTAAGTACTACAAATTTTGAGAAGACTAGAGTAGGCTGAAATTGACTGTTTTTAGCGAACGGCAAGAGAAAGCGGGAACTTCCCCCGAGGCCCTTCCGCAGACCTTGAACGGCCTCAACTCCCAGATGGAGAGTTTCCAGAACAGCTTTGATACTCGACTCAACTCTCTTGCTACAACGACGTCTGTGGACAACGTTGTGCAGACCCTCCAAGACATGCGACTAGAGGCTGCGAACGATCGCAATGCACAAATGGACAATATCCGCAAACAAATCGACACCTATACGGGTCGCTTCAACCCAGAGCTCTCGCAGCAAGTATTAGATTCGATTGAGCTTCTTAACTCCAAGATTGAAGATCATTTAGCTCGGTCAAGAACAAACACAACCCAGGATACGGCAATTCCGAGCCCTGTGTCCAGACCGTCTATACCTGCCGATTCTGGGTCATCGTGTCAGGATCAGAGCGCGATACAGAGAGTTGAAGTGGTCGATAACGATATCGAAAGCTTCGCAATGGTCCATATCCAGTCACAGAATGCCAGCGCCCGATTTTGGCAACCTTCCGGCTCCAGAAACCTCACAGTTGAACTCGCTCTCAGGGGAACGATACAACGAGCTGCTATGCCTCAGCAAGGATCAATACTTATGTTCTGGCGCAAAGACTTTCCCCAAATCCTAAAGATTGGTCATACTAAATCGATCGGTGTCGAGGAACGCTTACAAACGTGGAGTCGTTCGTGTAAGAGAGAGTATGCGTCCGACCCGCAACTCTATAAAGAGACAGAAATGGTAGTGCCATTCGCCTATCAAGTGGAAAGACTCATACACACGGAGCTTAAGAACTACCGGATGCGTATAGAATGCACTGGCTGTAGTAAACCACGCGAAGAGGCACGTGCGCAAGCTATGGAAAGTTTCCCACGAATGAGGAATTGGGAAACTATGGGAAAATTATACCACAAAGAGTGGTTTTGTGTCTCTAAGGAACATGCCTTCAAGGTTTTCCAGAAATGGAAAGCCTGGATGTTGCTGGAGCCATATGTGCAGACTGATCATGGAGAATGGGTGCTCAAACCGTCCTTTCTCGACCATACAAGCGAAATATGTCGACCTTTGACAATCGAAGACTGATAAGCACAGTGCTGCAGACAAAACTGTCAACCATAAACTTGTGTAAATATGCAAAATACACCTACCAGTTACAGCCAGTAATGAGTTGAAGTTCTCGCTCTGCTTTATGTCTCTATCACTCGTCATTTCGTACGCGATGCAGGATACGCAGATTACGTCCTAAAATAGGTCGACTTGGAGGGGGCAGGACGACTTCATGAGTTGTGCATTCACAAGATCATTGTGTTGTCGGCTTTAATGGCAACTTCGCGAGAACTTATCAAGACGGTCACTGAGTTTTCGAGTAATGCGGTCGCAGCTCTGCCTCTGCTAGTGAGGCGTACGTGTTGTGATGCGACTGTTGTTGAAGAGGGTGGTGGGTAGCTACAATGTGGCCGGTGCAAGGCTTCCCCGCCCCAGTCCCCAAACTGGAACCTTGAAAGCTCCTCGCTCTCGCACATCACGCCTAAAGGTATTCCATCCACAACGGACATCCTTCCTGCGACGCGCTGCACTATCTATAGAGTCTCCGCTCTGGGTGGCTGCTTCTTCGTTACAAACAGGACATATCATGCTTACTAGTACTTCGGAAAACCGGTAATAAGTCTAGAGTGATCTCATCTTGTAGTGTAAAGCCATTAGTACTTTACACAATAATGCAGGCTCAGTCGGACCAAACAGGACACGAATGAACTTTTGCAACTATGCTTCGGGTAGTTATAGGCAATAGTATTTGCTTTACACGAAAACAGCAAGAGAAAAGCTCTAGATTACTACACTAGTTACAGAGGTCGTGAGATAATTCTTGTCTATCTCCTAACGCGCAAAGCGCAAGTTATGCCACGATGTTCTAATGCCACAGGCACTAGCCACGATTACGTGCTGTAGGTATATAGTATCCCTCTAGAAGTCTTTAGAGCTCCTTGAGGATTTGTTTTAATACAAACCTATACTAATATCTTAGTGCCTGCCCAAGTACTCCCTATAGTATCATTCTCTTGTGGAGTACGTTACAAGTTATATCAGTATACTTCATAGATTAATGTCAGTACGCAGCCCTGCACCACTACACTTCGCAACCAAAAAGGTACTACTGATCATGGTGCAGAATAGTATACATCGTCAGCCAGGTCTGACTTCTTTCACGTCTTCCTCTCTAATCGGAGTCGGGTATTTCTCGAGTTGAACGAGAGAGTACAAATTTGAACCATCCTTAATCTTCTTGGGTCCCATGTTAAGCAAGCGGAGGAGCTGGACCGTAGAACTGCAGCGAAGACAATGTGAGGAAGACAGGAAGGTTATGAGCCCGATCCTGGCGGCAGCTCATCCTTAACTCAGTGCGCTGTTATTGCAGCGAGTACTGTTAGACGCGTACAGGAATGTTAAATAAATATTAATAGTTATTTAGGGCTATAGAGATGGGGGCTACAGAGAGAGTCGCGATTCCTAAAACGGGTAACTAAAGACGAATCTCAGTTAATTAACCTTAACACGGAACGCGAGTTTTGACGGATGGCGAGGGTAAAATGATTCTCATTGTCCTATGGTCGTATGTGAAGGAAGAAGTGGGTTTGACATTAATATACGCGGTGTGTGTCGAGCGAGCGAAGCTACATCGGTGAAGGAAGATTCCGCAGTAATGTCATGGTGGAAAGCAGTCAGCCGAGTATAGAGCGATTGAGATAACGAAATATTGGCTGGGCGAAGGTCTATGGGGTGTTATTGCTTTGGCTGCCATCGGAGGCGTTGACGTGCGCGTCGAGGGTCATGCAGTCTAATCTGCAAAGAGATCCGCTCAGCTCAGATGGGGAGGTGGCTAAGAAAACCAACGCGCATACTGCAACCTCTTACTATTTGGGAGCATGTTCGGCATGCATGCATGTATTCTTGCTGATGCGGACGGGTGCGGCTGGACCTTCCCGAAGATCGAACGTGGTCCAATTACACAAGGGAGCCACCCACCAACGATGCGGGCTGAACGACTACGCTGGTTCTGCCTTCTCTTGTTTGGATCTCGTTCGCGTGATTTCACAGTATTCTCGTCTATGCATCGCTTAATATGACTAGTTTGGTCGTCATGATGGTGGGGGCTATGGGGGCTGGAAGAAGGAAGCTGATGGCGGGGGTGGGAGCGAAGTGACAGCGGTTCAGCTACCCCGTCGCAAAGGTTTCCGCGCTGCATTTAAAAGTCTGGTTCGGAACTTTGATGTGCAGGCTCGAATCAGATAGTTGTCAAAGCAAGTCGCAAGACCAGGCTCGTTCTAACGAGCTGCGGGGTCTAACAAATCAGTGAGAGTCTGCTTGCTGATTATAAGGTCAGGCCTGGAAACAACTGCCAATCTTCGATTAAGACACGCGAAACCCCAAAGCCCTCCACTGGGCGATGACGACTGAATCCGAGCCGCCAATGGAAGGGTCGATGCCGAACGCGACCGCCGAAACTAGTGTGGTCGCGACTAGAGTCGAGCGGCGGCCATGCAAGGAATGCGCATCCCTCAATCTCAGCATCGAGAAGTTCGTAATCGAGGATGACAAAGCAGCAGAAATTCGCCCGTCGCTCGATTCCCTGAGGCTGGCTAACGAGCGGTTCCGTCTGGGGACTCTTGACAGCATCAAAACAAGAGCGGAGTCCTGCCCTCTCTGCCATCTCGTCATAAACTCTATCGCGAAAGACGTCTTGAAAGACATCGATGCTACCGAGGCAGTCTGCCATCTCACATGGGAAATGGACGGCCGTCTATCCGTCGATCCTCGGCGCGCACTAGGAGAGAAGCGAACCCGACGACTGAGAGTTACCTGGAGCGACGCGTTGCTCAAGGCTTTCGAATCCTATTTGGTCTTAGCCGCACCACTGAAGTACGCAAACTCCGATCTCGACTACCCCAAGCAGTTGAATCGAGAGACGCAATTTCTTGGCCGCCGCTTCGGCGCAACGGAGAACAAAAAGAACCTTATTCGTGAGTTCCTAAGGCTGTGCGAGACCAACCACGATCGTCGGTGTACTCAGAAGATTGGGATCGAGAACCCTTTTCTTGAAACGTTGATGGAGCCGTACTTCGGTGTCATCGATATCGAAAACGACCGTCTCGTTCCGTTGCCGTTCGAAGAGACGGATGAACGACTCCAGTTCGAAGCGTATGCGGCTGTAAGTTATGTCTGGGGAGACACTGGTGAAATGGATTACCGAACGAAGATTAGCAACATACAAAGTCGGCGGAAATCTGGTGGCTTAGCTGCTACTATCCGGAAGCTGCCAAAAGCACTTGCACAGAGTATCCGACTGGTGCACGACTTGGGAATCAGGTATGTCTGGATCGATGCGCTGTGCATCGTGCAGGATAGCAGTCATTCATGGAATCTGAACTCGCGAGCTATGCATCTCGTATACGGTAACGCTACGCTGACGATCTGCGCCGCGGATGGTGAATCGCAGACTGGTCTACTAGCCCTTGACGAGGATCAGCGGCCAAAACAGCAGATTGGAGTTTATGCTGAGGACGTGCATTTGATCTTGCACCAGCCACCTGAAATTAGCATCAAAACATCGAAGTGGAATTCGCGCGCTTGGACGTTCCAAGAACGTCTGCTCTCCAAACGGTGCTTGATCTTCACCAGAGGACAGATTTACTTTCAGTGCCGCTCCACGGGCATGTCGGAAGACATCTTCGCGGATGGAAAAGGTCGAGGGTGGTCGCTAGACTTGGTGCAAGCTCCACTTCAGATGCTCACGGAGCTCAAACAACGCAGCATGTGGTTCTATGCCCATTGCGTATATCTCTATACATTGCGAGAGCTTTACGAACCGCTCGATATCCTAGCAGCGTTCAGTGGAATGTGTAAGCTGATGGAGAGCACTATGCAGGCGCCTTTTGCGTTCGGCCTACCAACGTCGCACTTCGACCTCGCCCTTCTGTGGGAGCCGGTTGACTTGTTGACCCCTCTGGACTACGACAGGGTCTCGAAGGAACCAAAGTACAAAGACATCAAGTTCCCTAGTTGGTCGTGGTGTGGGTGGAAGAGTAATGGCATCCAATACAAACTGCAGATGGTCGACGGTTGTCTCTCTGACGTTCATGCTTGGCTGCTAGACCATACATGGATCGACTGGCATATTAGAGACGGCCATGGGACGCTTCGTCGCCTTTGGGATCGGGAATGCGCGATCAGAGATCAGAGTACTGATGAGAAATGGACGGGTTACAACGCCTCAGTAAGACAAGCGGGGGAGTCATCCATCCCCCAGGCCAATACCAGCGACGATGATAGTGACACAGATTCGACTCCAGAAGAAGAAGGTCGCACGAGCAAACCTCCACGACGAGCTTCTGAAGGCAGCATGAATCGTCAGAGGAAGAACAGCTTTGGTAGGAAAGATCTGAAGCGCATGAGGAAGTTTAGCAGACAGATCCTGGACGGAGTAGCCAATCGCGAAGCCCAGGACAGTTACGGTCGGCCGCTGAGGGGAGGTCCGCTGGATGCGATACAGTACAGAAAACAGCTGGAGTTCAATCTCACGCTACCCGAAGATCCGTATCACGTCAGAATAACAGCGTCCAGTCAATCCGCCGGGGATCTCAAAGAGTTTCCCGATCAGCCGTTTCTACAATTCTATACTTGGCGAACCTCTTTCCACATCGTGCGCTCGAACGAGTCGAACGTCGAAGGAGACGATGTTGGAGTAACGAGGGCTCGATGCCATATCACAGACCGGCGTGGCGACAAATGCGGGTCCATCGTTGTCAACAAGGATTGGTTGGAAAAGTACGAAGCCATTGGCCAGACTACCTTCGAGTTCATTGCCATTTCGGACGCCAAGTCGTTCAGTCAACAGGAATTTCCGGTCTGGACGTATTATTTGCCAAAGGAGAGAGTTGATTCGGAGTGGGACCTATACTTTGTGCTCTTGGTAGAGCCATTTCCCGATGAAGGTATCCATCGTCGTGTAGCTCTTGGTAAAGTCTTCAAAGCGGCATTCACACTCTCAGACGATGAGTGGAAAGAGATCATTCTGGGTTAGCAACGCTTCTGGCGCCATTGCTCTGGCATGATGTGTATCATGCCGACAACCCGGTTTTCATCTTTTGTTAATGCGACGAAACATACTTCGCGTTATTGGTGTCTTTCCGCTTCCCTGACGACTGTGACTCACTAAGCTCTGGTGTATACGTGTGCTCTGTTCTTTGTCATCTGTGAAAGAAGCTACATTTCCGGAGATGACAGATACCGATCCAGAAGATCAACAAGTAGATCATATTTCCCACGGAAGCCACGATGAGTACGCACACCAGTAAATGTGACCTTGGGATCAATGATGACGTGGTGAAAGGTATACACCCGCTTCGCCGTTCCGTCACAGTATGGTTCCGAGAAGTCACCACGTACGGGTGAAGCCAGACAGTTTGCTGTAGCAGATGCATAATGCCAGTTGTCCTGCGGAAGACTTGCTGACACGAGGCGACCGAAGAATGGATCTTCGAATGGACGATCGTGCAAAATCAAGTAGGCGTATCAACGCGGTACTTATGCAGCCGATGGAAATGATGCTGGTGGAACTGAAATGAGCAGAGCATGGTACCTGTCAAGTCTAATACCATCCGGCACGTTCTATGCTCGACGCCATGTGATTGCGACGACATACAGCGAGTGACACTGAACCGACTTGATCTCGCCGCGATCAGAAGGATAGCGAGTCACAATCTGGTAGTCGTACGGAGAAGTAAAAACGTCGATGAAAGAAGCCTAATTAGCCACAAAACAATGATGGGATCGAAACCTGTCACGACGTCAGGCAACAACATGGTCAGCAACGGAGAAGGGTCAAACCACAACTACAGCCAAAGCCGGATGCATCCAATCCGCATCCTCAACTCTCCACATCAAAAGGCCAGAGAGCAACGAGGGATCCAAGAGAGAATCTAAACACATGATTATTGGCAGACAAGTCATCCAGGAAACAGGAAGAGACGAGCTGGTCCTATGTGCTATTAGCAGCCATGAGTCCTCCGCTTTCCCGGTAAATGCCGCTGATGCATGCGCAATCGTCTGTGAGGAGACCTGAGACCAAGTGAAAGATCTGAACAAGACCGAAGTCCTTCACAGAACGTACCGAAGTAAGCACTCCTCCACCGCCACGTCCCACGCCATATACAATCTTTCGCCCATCATCCGCCTAAACAATCGTGTCCGTCATCCACCGAGGCGTTATCTTTTCAGTTTCCACCAAGACTTTCATCCATCATACCTCTGAACGTTCGTTGATCCTTCGTGTTGATCTTGACAACGCATCTTCCACCATCCAAAGCACTGCACATTGTACACCTTCGCCAGCACAGCCTGGAAAGCGAAGCCCAAAAAGAAGAACAAGCAGAAAAGAGAGAGAGTCGTATCATACCGTCAACGCCGTACGTACCAGAGTTGTAAGAGTGTGCCAGAGTAGAAACCGTAAGAGTAGACCGAGAGAGTGAGCCGTAAAGAAACCGTAAGGCCCGATAAGGGTAGACTGTACACACATGAGTGGTTGGGCATGCTCGGCAGTAATGGCTACCGAGCACCCCACGACAGTTGTGACGTACCGGTCGGTTAAAACCTGCTGGCAGCAGCACCCCATAGGGAGTTGTAGATCTTGTCCACGACGTAAGAAGCGCGGATGGTGCGGCTGTTGAAAGTACGACCGTTGAGACCTTGAAGAGCCTTCTCACCGCCGGAGACAGAGTCGAACTTGACGAAGACGTCGCCCTCGCTGTTGGCGTCGACAGCGATGTGAACGACTTTGCCATACTTCTTGTCGCACTCGGACTTGATCTCATGCTGAAGCTCCTTGTTCCAGTTGTCACCATAGTTGCGCTGTTCCCTAGGGATATGTTAGTAAATGTAAGGGAGACGAAACTCAGGACTTACTCGTCAGGGTCAAAGACGTTCTCGATCTTGACGCACTTGGAAGCCATGGGAGCGGCGGGGGCTGGCGCAGGAGCCTTGCGAGTGGTGGGTACAGGCATAGCCTGACCGCCCTGTCTGGAGTCACCGGGAACGTCGCGGCGAGCGAGAGCGTCCATGAGCCTGCTGCGGTCATAGGTCTTGAAGTTGACTCCAGCGACATCGGAGTCGTCAAGAGCAGAGGCACCGCTAACGCCACGGTCGTCCTTGCTATGGGTACGGTCAAAGACACCACCAGTACCACCAGCATAGGCACCTCGGCCACCAGCACCGCTGAAGGCAGAGCCTTGGTAGGACTGAGCCTGCTGGGTGAATGTACGGAGGAGGTTCGCGGTCGACTCGGGGGTGAACTTGTCGTTGCCGAGACCAACACGGATCTGGCGGCCAGCAAGCTCGAAACCGTTCATCTCTGCGAGAGCATTCTTAGCGTGCGAGGGGTCAACGAACCTGTGATGTGTTAGCAAATGATGTTGCAGTGGACATGACAGAGGACTTACTGAACGAAACCATATCCCTTGGAGCGGCCAGGGTTCAACTCATCGCGCTGGAGGATGACCTGCTCAAGCTCACCAAAAGGCTCGAAGATCTCCTGGAGATCCTTCTCGGTGACGCTGAAGTGGATGTTGCCGACATAGAGACGGTGGAAGGGGGCGCCGTTAGCACCGGGTGCAGCACCGCCCTCGGAAGGACGAGCAGCACGGTTCTTCTCGGCTTCAGTAAGCTGGGCAATGATGGGGACGCCCTTCAGTTTCTGACCAGTCAGCTCCAGTGCAAGAGGTACAGACTCTTCAGCTTCGAACTCAACGTAGCCGACGCTGGAGGGATGTTAGCATGTATGTATGAGGAATGGATAAGTGAGTACTCACCCCTTGCTACGGCCGGTAACTCGGTCCTTGACGATCTGAGCTTCGACAACAGGGCCGACACGCTCGAAGAAGCTGCGCAAGTGACGCATCTCAGCACGCTGGGAGATCTGCTGGACGAAGATGGTGCGCTTGTCACGGTCGTCCTCGGTGACCTCGGGCTTGGGCGGAGTGTTGTTGCGACGGCTGTTGCGGCGGTCATCACCACCGTTGCGGCGACGGTCGCGGGACCTCTCGCGGTACCTGTCGTTGCCGCGGTCGCGAGGGGAGCGGGAACGCGGACGACCTCCACCGCTGTAGAAGTCGCCTCCGCGGTCGCGGTCACGGCCTCCACGGCCTCCACGGCGGTCGCGCGAGCTGCTGCGGCGGGGCCTATCACGGTCTTCATCTGTGTCAGCACCTTTGCTAGAACGGGGACGGCTTCCGTCTCTTCGGCGGTGGTCTCTATCGCGGCTGCGACGGCGATCTCCATTGGACTCACGATGACGGTCCCCACGGTCTCGGCTCCTATCACGACGGTCACGGCGATCTGAGTGGCGGTCGTCGCGGCGGCTGTCGGTGTCGCGCGCCTCGCTGCTGGCGGTGCGCTTGCGCTCGGCGTCCTTCATCTCGACCTCGCGGGCGGTCTCCTCGAGGAGGGCCTCGACTGCGGCTTGGGTAGACATGTCGACGTCGGTGGCGGTTCCTAGCTCTCGATAAGCGTAGCTGGTGGAAGTGATGCGCGATGTCACTGCAATGGGCGATGTGTTGTTGCGATGGCGAGCTGGGGCTCAAGTATTGATTTCAATTGCGATATCGAACGGACGTAGAAAATGTCACTGCTGGCGCTTGCCGAATGACCTCCTGACCGAGATGCACTTGACAAATGGGTGCTTGATTGAAGCTTTGCAGGTGCAGCACGACGTGTTAATGGGTGGGTGAGTGGAATGTGGAGAGGCAGGCCTGGGCATGATAACTTGAAAAGTTGGAGGGGCCTTGGCAGGGTCTGCGTGACTAATAGGCAGCAAGTCACGTGCGAAGGTGACTGCGGTGAGCGCGACAGGGGAGATGAGCAGTGAACAGGAGTGAAGTGATTGTTGGCATTACTATTATGTGAGGTAGTGGGTCATAAAGCTATCTACAAACATCAAAGCTGCATCGACCCAAAATGGCCCTGCAGACCCGCTAAACGCCTTCTTCAATGCCGGTCTTGACAACGTGGTGACAGGTGGGTGTCTAATAACAAAATTCTATTCGTACGTCGGCTTCTAAGTGGACTTGATGACCTTGGAGGGTCCCATCTCAAGCTCTGTGCCGAAGATGCGGTCCCAGAAGCGGCTGGTGACACCGAAACCGTTTTGGTAGTCGGCGAAGTGGTGCGCAAGGTGGTACTTCTTGAGTTGCTGGTAGTAGGGAGGGAGCCTTTAACTTGTTAGTAAGGTCTTTTGAAGTTGTTTGTGTGTATACATACTTCTGGTGGTGGAGGAAGTAATGTGTCATGTCGTAGCAGGTGTAGCCAAAGATACCACCACAGTAAGCAGCAAGCGCGGCATACCAGTTCCAGAAGATGATGGCGTGTGCGAATTTCCAGAACGGTGCCGCCAAGACAGCGAAGAGTGTAGGCGGCATGACGAGCCTGTACCTGTCCATGGGAAGGTAGTGATGGATGCCGTGGAGCAAGAAGTGGAGGGTGATCGCGACGCGGTTATCAGGGAGATGGCTACGTGTGATCAGTACAGGATGAATCGATGCGGATGGGGGAAACTTACTCGTCCAGGTGGAACAATCCCCTGTGCAGAACGTATTCGATAATGGTCCAGAATCCCAGCCCAAAGACCCAGTACCCAGCAAGTTCCGTCGCTGATGATAGCCCACCAAATGCGACTGCTGTCCCATATGCGACACAGGGCCACCAAAGTGATGGTACGACCCACCATGGGGTCTTGCTGAGCGGCTCTAGGAAGTTGCCAAACAGAGGCGCGGAGTCGCCTCCCTTGTAGTGGCGCGGGCGATGCACTTGCTGCAGGTAAAAGTCCTTGCTGAATCCACCATTCCAGACCTGCATCAGAAGCGGCTTGCTAAGGTCCAAGAACTTGTGCTGCTTGTAGTCCTGGTTTGGGTCCGTCGGTTTTGAAAGATCCTCCGCAGATGACATGCCGGTTGCTTCGTACAATGGCTTGCCGTCCTGTTCCATGCCCTTGAGCTCCAGCGTACCCACCTCGGAAGGTGGCAGAGGCACAATATCTGCGGGGTGCGAGCTCTTCACTACGCCGTTCAGAAGATCTTCGGGAACCATGAAGCCCACCAAGCTCTCTTCAAGAATCTCGTAGGCGGAATCGGAATGGGTGTGTGAGATCTCGTCCTTCAGGATTGCCTCGACATCTTTGCCCGCGTACTCCAGGATAAATTCGGGACCACCGGGATGGCCTTCAAGGAAATCGGTAACATCGTAGACCTTGGTGCCAATGGTGACATAGCAGGACTTCTCGTTGTTGTGCGCGCGCACCTCGGCGGTCGGAATCGTCGGAAGGGTGCGGCCAGGCATTGTGGTGGTTGTAGACATCAAGTCTATGTTCGGCGGTGAGTTGCTTGCGGTACGTAGGAAGAGGACTGCCGAGGGTAGTTTATATGTGTCCAGCGGTGTGTCTTCAAACACTGGTCTCGGCGGTGTGGTGAACAGCTGCGGTTGCGTGGCGACACAAATTCGGTACCCGAGGGGAGAAGCCACGGCGCAGTAAAACACAGCACGGTGTAGAGAAGGAGCGTATAGGGTAGGAGGATGCGCAGTAGAGTAACAATACAACCCGCGGGAGTGTACGGAGAGTAATGTAGCAATCAGTCAATTGTCAGGAGAGCCAAGAGATGCGCAGATCTCACCACCCGCAGCTAATGGTGGCGAGACCGGCATTCGCGCGCTTCCACCTCCGAGATGCCACCACGAAATCTCAGACCGCGAATAGGAGATGCAATTTCCCCTCGCCTGGTACTCGCCGTAGTAGTCGCTGATTGGCCCCGGTCTCCTGTAGCGCTCTGCTCATGCCCATAGTCGGATCACTAATGCTTTCATTGCCCGAGTGCTTTCGTTGTCCGGATGGTTTCGGTCGTGGTTTGCATGTCGACAACGCCTGACGCCTAACGCCCCAGGGGATAACAGAACTCCATCGCATTATTGCATGCACAATACTTCAATCAGTCCACGATTCTTGGAACGACGTAAAGTCTTACCTCAATTGATATTACCATCGTTGAGGACCTTCTTGGGATCTAATGCGACACGAAATCCGGCGTCCCCTGGCGATGCCTTCACGTCTCCTACATACTTCACCTGAATATTACATGCATAGGTGCGAAACTGTTCGGATGGCTAAGTCGTAGTTGCAATTCGTTGTAAAGGACAGCAGCGAAATGATTGATAAGATTAAACCCTTGTACCAGATCAACTAACTCACTACGACCGAGACTCACACATCTTATCAGATGCCTATCTCAAAGAATGCAACCATCAAGCAAGCCACCAACTCATCGGCCCGTTGTTTAGAAAGCCGTCGCGTGGACGCCAATGACAGGCTGTGAGGCTGTCCGTCAGCCTTGCTGGACCCTTGTCTGCCAGGGGCAGGAACACAACATTGCGTCACTGACGGATACCAAGTCGCGACTTCTTCACTGCAGCCAACAACAGCCAATCCTTGGATATGTGCCTTGCTTGTGGTGCAGGGCCCTGGCCCTTAACTTCACCACCTTTCCCGGCCTTATCTTCAAAGTCCTCACAACCTTACGCTCATCTCTATACCTTTACGACGAAGCTCAGCAGATCTGCACCCTCGCATCACGTATCTAGCAACCATTCCTCACCACGAAGACCTATCCTGTGATTGCGCATGCGCCGTGCGCAGTCACAGCCCATCATGCCTGCTGTCATTTCCAACAGGGATCATACCCGGTCTATAAACCGCCTCTCTATCGCACAGCTATGCACCCTCCTCTGCCTGAGCGCGCTGCCTATGGCCGACGCCATTCATCACATGGGACCTAATCACCATATGGCATTCAAGGCACCCTGGAAGACCAATCGAAGAAAGCTGGACATCACACCCCTGCTGGTGACGAACCAGTGTCCCGAGCCCATCTGGCCTGGTATTGGAACGCAGTCTGGCACAGGTCCAGGTGAGACTGGCTTCAAGCTTGAACCCGGGGAGACGAAGAACCAGACTGTATCAGAGGACTGGCAGGGTCGCGTATGGGGCAGAACGAACTGTACCTTCAACGAAGATGGCACTGCTGCCGCATCGGGCCGTGGAAAGGCTTGCACATCCGGCGACTGCAATGGCGCCTTGAACTGTCAAGTCGGAGTATGTCATACTCTTCCCGTCTTCTGACCGACTCCCGCTGACTCAGACACAGGGAGACGTACCCGTTTCGCTTGCCGAGTTCACATTGGACGCTGGCGATGGCAACACATACTACGATATTTCGCTTGTCGATGGTTACAATGTCCCCATGGCAATTGTCCTCCAGCCGCTCGACAATGTCACGCTCGACGACATCCCTCCAAACCTCACCAACCCGTCATGCCAAGGCACAGATGGGCTCCTCGCTGCCCAAGGTTACAACCCGTACCCAGAATTCCCCAACTTCCTCCACACGAACACATCATACCCGCTGTCCTTCGACCAGGACGTAGACGAGAATAAGATCTCCAAGTGGTGTCCGTGGGATCTACAGCAAAGCCCTCCCGAGAAGCCCGGCGACGGCGTATATCCATACCCTGACGACAACATCCAACGGCCGCAATTCAATCCATGCTTCTCCGCATGCGCGAAGAACAACCAGCCCAAAGACTGCTGTACAGGCAAATACAACTCCCCGAATAAATGCGAACCGAGCGAATATTCCAAGAACGTGAAGGCAGTCTGCCCAGATGCTTACAGCTATGGTAAGTAGCCCACCTACACAAAAGGAATTGAGCAGATCTAACAGCCGCAACAGCATTCGACGACCAATTCTCCACCTTCATTATTCCCTCTGGCGCCGGCTTTGAGGTCGTATTTTGTCCTGGTGCGCGTTCCACAACCATCCTTGCGACAAGTCGAGATAAGATGTTGGCGTTGGCGCAGAGTGGGAGAGTGGAGAGACAGGCTACGATGATGATGAGCGAGGCCATGAGTGACGAGGTTAAAAGAAGCGCTACATCGAAGACATCCCGGCTGGATGGTAGCACGCTCGGGTTTGCCCTCGTTGCGATGGCTGTAGCTTCGGTAAGACACCTTTGGTAGGAGGACGGTGATTGTGCTTGGTCGTACTTGAGGTTTGGAAGCCTCCTTGTTGCTGTTAGTTGATGGTTGGATAGCTTTACGGGTGGGTGGGGGAGGAGGAGGGGTGGACGTGGACGTTTTCCAGATCCTCCTGAGATGGTTATCCTTCACTCCTCCTTTGCACTTTCACGTTACGATACGATGTGTGTGATTGCGGCGGTTTGATAGTCGGATAGTTCTATACCCTTTCGTCTTTATTCGAATCGAGTTCTTAAAGACCCTATTGCATTGGATTTCTAGGCGCATGAAACCTGCTACACATATACATACGCCAGCCGGCAGCCTGTTCAACCTCCGTTGATAAAGAAGCAATCCTGAGGTTGCACGACGCCGGCACCATCCCACACCACGTGGGGCTGCACCACCCGGAACACTGCCGTCGCGCCTCTCACCAGCTACACAGCACCTCCAACTTCTAAATTCGACACGGAGCGAGCAGGGCCGCTACCATCTCGCAACTCGCCGTCTATACCTGCAGCTTGTGGCCTCTGCACGGCTGAATTGCGGCTCAAGACAGCATCTTCGACGTCAGATCCACAAATGGTATCAGGCTAGCCGCTATGGGCGCGGAGCAACGACTCCGTCTTCCTTTCTAGACCACGTCGCGGTGCTACCAACCGCTCGATGGAGCTCAACGCGGCACTGCTTGCTCCGGAGTGGTGAAACGTCTGATGTGGTATGGCTGAGGTTTTCAGTCGTCATTCAAGAGGAAAGGACATCGCTTGTTGTACCGCCTACCCCGCCAATTGGTAGTTCCAAACGGCCACCTCTGTTCCTGTCACGAGTTTGATCGATTATCACCATCTTGAACAACTATCATCATGGCGAAAGAACAGGACCTGAGCGTCCACGTCTTGTCGGAAGGATGGACTTTCAAGCAGAGTGATGATGCTGCTAAGGATGCTTGGATGCCAGTCAAGAAGGTCCCTACGAATGTTCACTTGGACTTGATGGACCATAACAAGTATGACCGACACCCAGAACATACATGAACATGCACGAATTGACACATGGACTAGAATTCCGGATCCCTTCCTGGGCTTCAATGAGCTTGAAGCAGAATGGGTGGCTGATAAGACTTGGACATACAAAGTCGAGCTGCCCAAAGTGCCGGAGGCAAAGGAAGGCGTAGTTCACGTACTCGCGTTTGACGGCCTCGACACTTTTGCAACCGTCAAGCTCAATGGGGAGACTATACTCAAGAGCGACAACATGTTCGTCCCTTATCGCCTCGATGTGACGAAGAAGCTCAGCTCTGAGGGCGACAACACTTTGGAGATCGACTTTGCTTCTGCCCGCCTCGAAGCCATCAAGATCAAAGAGAAGTACCCGGATCATAGGTGGGTTGGATTCAATGGCGACATGTCAAGGCTTGCCGTGAGGAAGGCCCAGTACCATTGGGGCTGGGACTGGGGACCGATCTTGAACACTTGCGGCCCGTGGCGCGAGGTGCGACTGGAAACGTATCAAGCAAGAGCAAAAGACCTGAGAGTCGACTATAAGCTTGACGATAGCCTTAAAACCGTCCAAGGAACCATTTCTGCGACTGTTGAGGGCGACTCGGCAGATAGCGTCAGCTTTGATGTCTACGATGGCGATCAACGGGTCTTCAGAGAGACTGCGAAAATAAGCGACTGCATTGCCACAGTCGACTTCCATGTCAACAGTCCCAAATTGTGGTACCCGCACGGTTATGGCGACCAGCCGCTGTACACTGTCACTGCAACGGTCCTTGCGAACGGAACAGACGTCCACCAAACATCACGGCGAACAGGATTTCGCAAAGGCGAGCTCATTCAGGAACCGGATACGATTGGTAAAAGCTTCTACTTCCGCGTCAATGGCGTCGATGTGTTCTGTGGCGGTTCGGACTGGATCCCCGCCGACTCATTCACTCCCCGTGTAACCGAGGAGAAGTACCGTAAATGGCTCGAGATGATGGTTGATGGCTATCAAATAATGATTAGAATCTGGGGCGGTGGTATCTGGGAAGAAGACATCTTCTACGACCTCTGCGACGAACTCGGTGTCCTCGTGTGGCAAGATTTCATGTTTGGGTGCGGCAACTATCCCGCCTTTCCGGACATCTTGCAGTCAATCAAGGAAGAGTGCACTGCCAACGTCACCAGATTGCGACATCACCCATCCATCATCATCTATGCGGGAAACAATGAGGACTACCAGGTGCAGGAGTCGTATGGCTTGACTTACGATTACGAGGATAGGAACCCGGACAACTGGCTAAAGACCGATTTCCCGGCCAGGTACATATACGAAAAGGTACGTGCGTATCGCATAATAGCAAATGCCATTACGCTGACAGTACACTTTGGTAGCTGCTGCCCGACGTCGTTGCGGCGGAAAGCCCACACGTGCCATATCATCCGGGGTCGCCATGGGGCGACGGCCTTAAGACGTCAAACCCCACAGTGGGTGACATGCATCAATGGAATGGTACCAATTTCCACATTGCTCCACATTGCCTCACATATAGTGTACTAACGATGCATACAGTATGGCACGGCACGCAAGAGAAATACCAGATATTCGATACACTCGGGGGTCGCTTTAATAGCGAATTCGGCATGGAAGCCTTTCCGCATATCGATACGATCAAGTACTATTGTACGGACCCCTCGCAGCTTTACCCGCAAAGCCACATGCTTGATTTCCACAACAAAGCCGACGGCCACGAGCGGCGAATAGCCACGTATCTGGTGGAAAACTTCCGGACCAAGACCGACCTAGAGGTATGTGCCGTCCGACGGTTACCCGGTTCATGGTCGGGAAGCTAGACCAAGTGGGCCGCAATATAGCCGGTATAGGGTACTGACAGCGAATAGTCGTTCATCCACCTTACACAGCTGTCGCAAGCCGAAGCACTAATGTTCGGCTACAGGGGCTGGCGGCGCCAGTGGGGACAAAACAGGCATTGTGGTGGTGCACTCGTCTGGCAGCTCAACGACTGCTGGCCAGTTACCTCATGGTCCATCGTCGATTACTTCCAGCGTAAAAAACCGGCTTACTACGCCATGCGCCGGGTACTTGCCCCAATTGCTGTCGCCGTCAAACGGGCGCACTTTGATTGGAGCGTCGTGCATGCCAGAGTGCCCCCGACGAGCGACTACGAAGTCTGGGTCGCGAGTCAGAGGCTAGAGGAAGTGGCCGCAACCGTTGAGCTGCGGTATATTAGCGTTGAGAGCGGCAAGGAGATTAAGAATAAGATCGTCAAGAAGGATATCAGGCTCGTACCAAACGGAACGACCGACGTCCTCTCAGGCACGATCGACAACCGGAACGAGGAGCCGCATGTCCTAGCCGTACGCATATGGGTCGATGGCGAAATCGTGTCGCGCGATGTCGATTGGCCGCAGCCGCTCAAGTATCTGGACTTCAAGGACCGCGGGTTGGAAGTCGTACCAAAGGGCGAGACTATCACGGTCAAGGCACAGAAGCCGACAAAGGGCCTGGTCTTTGAGGAGCGCTCAGGCGTTCTCGTTCACGACAGCGCTATAGATATTGTTCCTGGCGACGAGCAGGTCATCAAGGTCAAGGGGCTGGGTAAGCAGGACGAGCCGTTGAGGTGGACATACTTGGGCAAAGAGTAGGGGTCAGCTCGTACGTAGGATTCGGGATGTGGAGGTTGCTTGATGAGGTGAGAAATATGCATGATCACACTTTTTGTGGAGTATGTGCAAATGCAAAGTATACATGTAGTTAGAGGAACACCTCTTCGCGCATGCTGACGCGCCAGCACTCCAAGTCCTTGATCATTACCATTACCAACACTATCATTCCTTCAGCGGCCCTGCGTAGCAAAAAACCTCGTATACTGTAACATAGAGTTTGCCTCACGAACATTATAGGCAAGGAGCATCACACTCACGAATTACTGGATTACTCAACGATAATACTACGCATTATCTGTCGAGTACATAGAGTTTGAACCGGCGGCCTATATGTGAGGCTGCTATAGGTCCGTCGTCATGTTGGCCTGCCAAGGACTGGATATGAAGTTTCCAGGGTAAATTAAATGGCGTTGCTGGCGGGATGTCGCATTGGTTGGAGGCGTTCTGCACGGGGTAGAGGGGTGCAGGTGAATGCAACCTAGCCGCATGCTGTCACGCAAAGCCGGTTCGCAGCGATGGTGGTGCGGTTTGCGAGTCTTGAGGCTTGAGATGGTGAGTTGGGTTGGTAGGGGGTGTTCGACGCCTCTCTCTCTCTTATGTGCGTCTGCGTTTGTGGTAATGATACCTAGGTAAAGCATATCTACCCAGTACCTACGAAGTCTTGCAAATAGCCGGTGATGCTCTCCTTCAGCGCTCTCTTACTACTGGTCAGAATGCTCCTGCATGGGGTAGAGGGTGCAGACAGTATGCATCCTAGCCACATGCATCACGCAAAGCCGGTTCGCAGCAACTACGCTGTGCTCTCGGCCCAGGAAGGATTGCGACCCGGACGCTGGTATGGGGTTTTATTTTGGATGATGAATATGCCGGCAGAAGGCCGTGGTAGCGAATACGCGCAGACCCTCTTCCTTCTTTCGCCTGTAACGCGGCTTGCCTGTAATGACCGGCCTTCATAGGTCGGGTGAGTAGTACCCGAAACATGGTGTTCGACGTTTGGGTCTGGAATTTAGGTTCGCAGCGCACCACTCGCTCCCCCAGAGATCCACACACACATGTACACGTTCTCTAACGCAGGCCCGCCATCCTTTCTCATCTGCGGACATGCGATCGAGAGTACGCGCTGCTTGATCGTGGCGGGAAGGATCCGCACTCGCTGAAACGACGTGCAGTAGTGCTGCCGCAGGCGGCCAGGTGGGAAAAAAGGGTTGCTTCATGTCCCGTCGGACGAGAAAGGCAACTGGCATGCGCGATCTCTTCTGGAACGCATTTCGAAGCCGTCGGCAGCGGCACGCTCCCATCTCTCGACACCAATCTCGCTTGGCTCACCCCTCC